AACCCAGGTGTGAAAATGACAAATTGCTGTCTCAAAGAGAAGGAAGATTAAATGGGATACATGAAATATGCACAATTCATTTTCTCTTTTATTTGAGGAATTTTTATCAATACCGAGACAAAATTACATACATTTGGTATGGTTTCCCAGCATTTCCAGTGAAGTTGGTGTTTCCATCTTAGTCAGACCAACCCAAGGTTACGAGAACTGTGTTTACCCAAACCCAGCATTATCATTTTTTACCCTAACAACTAGCATAACTAGTTCTCATCTTCGTCTCCTGGGAATTCAGTCGTAAAAAATATTAACCGAATCTTTCTCTCTGATTTTGTCAATACATGTATTTGAAGGTTTCTAGACCGAGAGCATTAAATGTTTCATAGTCTTTGAGACTTCTGGTCATTTTGTTAATATAAGAAACTAAAGATGTACACCTGGTGTAAAAACAGAAAGTAACTGTATTTAGAGTGTTTGATTTGCTGGAAATTAAGTTGTTTTGCATATTGACACAGTTCGTATGAAGATATTTTATTCAGATATGTGGGAGAATTGGTTAAATGAATCTGGTAATGAGTGAACGACTTGCAAATGAAAAAGGATACCAGCTCATATCTTACTGATTCATCGAAGGAAAGTCATTAATACTCGGTGTTAATTGCCTATATTAAGTGCATTTCTAGTTTTTCATGTAATTCTGGAATAAGGAACAACCAATCATATGCTCATGAAAAAAGGGTGAAAAATTGTTGATCGATAAATTTGATGACCAAAACCTTCAACAGTTGCATTTATTGCAGGCAGTGCTCTACAGCAAAAAACAAAAATAAACATACAATATTTATGATTTTTCTGTGCATGGATGGTAATTAAGAAATAAAAAGGAAAATTATATTGACCAAAAAAAACAATGAGTTCGGAGCGTAGTAACAGACGCATGTCAATGCAAGTGGTGTCTCACACCACTCCAGTTCAGAAGGAACGGCCCAAGCACAACTCGGCGCCACCTAGTGCTATGAGACGAGTAAACACGTCCACCGCATTAGGAGGGGACCGTAAAAGCTCGCTATCTAGTTCTGCGGCTAGCAGTGCTAATGAGCACCGCAGGAGAAGTGCAAGTATGTCTATTGATGTTGTAATGAAAAAGAAAATGATTGATCACTATTCAAGTTTTTAAATGAATTTTTGGAGTTTTTTAAGACTATATGACAAATTTTCCTTAGTTTTATTTCATATGAAATGTTGAGTGGATTAATATATTACATTCATTGCAATGATATAAATTAAAAGACTAAAAAAAATTAAGACTTATTTAAAATGGTATTAAGTATCAGTAATGATAATTAAAATTAGTAATCTAAGAGTTGTTTAGTAACTGTTTATTAAGTCCATGTATTTCCAAACAGGCTCTTTCTTTAGGTTGGGCTGGGGGGGGGGGGGGGGGCATTGCATACTGAATGCTGGTCCCCCACAAGCTTCTTTCTGTTCAGTAAGGCTTACAATTTCAATTTTTTAAAAGAAATTTTTATATTAATTTTTAAAATTTGAACTTCTTGGCTTGCAAGCTATTCAAAAGTTTCCTACGTACAATGGTGAGGGAAAGATATTTGAAATTTTATTTTGTTTTATTACTCTCTCTCTCTCTCTCTCAGACACACACACACACATCCATTTTCATTTTCAATTTGTATAAATGGTTTCACCTTTCTTAATCAGAAGCAGAAATAATTTACAAATACAGTGTACATTTCACCACCAAAGAAAAGAAATCAATTTGACCAAAAAGTGGTTGTTAAATATTGCCAATAACTCAGCAGGCATTTTTAAAAGTATATGACTTGTGTGTATATGAACAAGTATAAGACTAAGAATAGAAATTAGTGTTGTACACTTTTCTTTTTATTTTTTTCTTTAAACTGCCCTCAAGAGTATTGTAAAAGTGTTTTGAGGTCATATTTGAATTTCGATAAGCTGGTCCCGTTTATAATGTTTGCAATTTTATACATGGATTTACTTTGTTCTTCTTGTTTAACACAGGTTACCACATTGTGAAAGTATTATGAGCATTTTAAATATCACATTACTAAGATACGACAAAATTGGGTGGACAGATCTCTCAAGATTATGATAATTTGTGTGCCACAAAAAGCGTTTGTGAAGATTTAAATTAAACATAAAAAAATTTTGAACATTTTCTATTCTGTTTGTTCATATGCTGTGAGGTGATAATTTTCTTTCGCAATATTCAATTTCTTTTTTCAATAAGTTAAATGTCGGGATGAAATTTGTCGAAATCAGTCGGTTCGATTAATTTTGATTTTTCCTTAAATCCAAGTTAAGTGATTATAATTATACATGTGTTGTATGTGGTGCTCCAAAGCTATAAATCTTTTTTTTTTTTTTTTCGTTCCCCCTAACAATTGTAGAACAGAGTGAAAATTCTAACCAGTTTAATTTCCTCCTGAGGGCTTTAAATTGTGATTTACATGCATTGTAGAAACTAATATCGTTTTTTACATTTTTTACGACTTGGAATATTAACTTGAGATATTGATTTGTAAGGAAATTCAGTATTTGATTTGTTTTCCATCACCATGGTGATCAAAACAGGGAGTATTCATTAAAGTGTGAAACATGGAAGTTATCAAGTGTAATTAACTTCATGAAAAAAAAGTCTTCTTGTGATCAAAATATTTAATTGTTTGGGTGAGATGTGATATTAATTTGAACATAAACCGTTCTTTTGTGTCATTGAAGGGATGGCTAAATAACATTGTGTTTTCGGAAATCGGGATATATATAATTACACGTTTATACTCCCAGAGATCAGGTTTTTTTGTTGACAACTGAATGGAATTTGCAGGAGAATGCAAATGACAATTTGTATATGACAATTTCAGTTTATCACTGATAAATTATTAACACACTGAATGCAGACAAGGAATTATGTGTATGATAACTAGTGCATGTTTTTGCTGCAGGAGAGAATTCCATTGTGAAATTGTTTTACTGATGAATTATTAACAATTCAATTGCATTCAAGGATTTTTATAATTAGGTTGTTTTTTGAGGACCTAGTGCTTGGAAGAATATAATCATAAGTTTGGCTCAGTTTGATTTCTCCTTTTTATTCTGAAAGAAAAATCCATTTAAAGCATAAATACAGATTTTTATGGCCATTCAATGCCCTGTAAACTTCTCTAGGAAGACAGTTAAAAGAAGATTTAAGTGTGAAATAGATTAAAGTATACATCATTCTGTTTGGTGAAGAGTGCATTAGGCGATATCGTCTTCTACGTTTTTTAATAAAATTGTCGTTTTATGAGTGAGATTTTCACACCCGGGAAATCAGGTGAAAAGATGTCTGAATAATGTGGAAATTTTTCCACTGCATGGTGAAGATTCTGTTTGTTTAATATTTCCAAGGAAACTTAATTTGTCTTCTGTGTTGTTCATGATAGCCTGAAAAACAAACTTGAATTTTCAAGTGGATTGAATCATATGAGTGAAAAATATTCTGTGGATTCATAGATTCTGAATTAAATTTTATACTAAAACTGAAGAAAAAACTGAAAATTAAATTTTAGATTTTTGAGTTAAAAAAAAGATTGAAAATAATTTAAACAGTCATGGTGAAAGAGGACCATTCAGGAGGTAGATTGGAACGGCGCATGAGTCGGGATCAGGGTACACACAAAGCGGAACATGGTGTGCACAGGGCAGAGCATGGTGCACACAAAGTGGAGCACAGTGCTCACAAACCTGAGCATGGTGCTCACAAACAGGGCCATGCTCATGGCAGACGAATGTCTGTCATCGGAAAAGATAGTCACGGGCGTAAGTGATAAAAAAGTCATGAGTGTAAGTGATAAAAAAGATAGTCATGGGCAAGAGTGATAAAAAAGACAGTCATGGGTGTAAGTAATAAAAAAGGTAGTCATGGGCGTAATTAATTAAGAGATAAAAAAGATAGCCATGGGCGTAAGTAATTAAGAAAATAGTCAGGGGCTTAATTTTAAATGATTAAGAAAAATAGTCATGGGCATAATTGATTAAAAAAAGATAGTCATGGGCGTAAGTGATAAAAAAGATAGTCATGGGCATAAGTGATCAAAAAGTCTTGGACATAGTTGATAAAAAAGATACATGTAGTCATGGGCGTACTGTAAGTGCTAAATGTGAAGTTTCCATTTTACAAAGGTAGTGTTGTCAGTGTTTTTTTTTGGGAGGTTAGTGCACAAAAATATTTTCTTGTGGGCATGCAGATAAATTTTGTAACCATTTCTCAATTAAAATAATAAAGTAGAATGGATGTTGATATTTGATGTGTTTTAAATTTATACATGCAAGGCATTATGAGAGGATAAATGCTGTTGTGTTTTAATATTATATTCTTTTTTAAGTATAGTTGATTTAAAATCAATTGGCTGTCAGGTTTGAAATACAATTTGAACCATACATTATTCCTTGAGTTTATTAAAAATTGTTTCAAAAATATTGTTTAAAAATATTGATTTAAAACATAGAACTTTTTTTTTAGAACTTCAAAATGTGAAGACAGCACGAAATTTTGTTAAACAAACAAAAAGGGGAAAAAAATTTGATTGAAATTAGCTAGATTTAAAGTGAAGTTGCATATTCTGCATGTTGTCATGTAAAATCAATATTGTTTGTCTGAATAATTGCATGATAACAAAACTATCACCTTAATGGTTAAATGTAATATAGTTATGTATATCACTATAATATATATTTTTTTCATAATTAGAAGTAACAAATGATACAAAATGATTCAGATGTGAGGATGATCTAATGTATTTATCATACTAACACATGATGTTATTGTATATGTTCTGAATTTTCCGAATGAAATGTTTGTTATTTTCTGTGATAATTAATACCTCTTATCAATTTAATGTTGTATATTCTGACTGTTCCCCAAAAAGGGCTAATAAATTTTCAAGTATTTTTGTAATAAATTCATTCATTTGGCAATTTTTTAGATAAGCTGAAAGGGCGGGGTAAAAACCAGGCAGGAACTCCGGAGAAAGCTGGTACCCCATCTCAGGAAGGTATTGATGAGAACCAGTCACCGACCCGGAATGTCATCTGGAACGAGGAGATCGAAAAACTCCAGATCAAGGAGGACTACCTCAAAACTGTATGGATTATTCTTAAAGTTTTGTTTTATTATGACTTCTTTTTATTAAAAAGTAATTTTTATCATAATCTTATACATGTATTAAAAGAAAATTTTACCAAAATCTGTACACTTTGAGACCTAGTGAAGAAGAAATCTCATATTCTTCAGATATTTTAAAAGTATTTTTATTTCATTAGTAAATCAATTACATGTATTATGGTTAGAAATGCTTTTCAGTGGAAATCTGATGCTTAAAATACCCTGAAAACTACCTGATTTATATGTTCTCAGAAAAAGATTCTAATTAAATGTTACATGATTAAAAATATATATTTTAAATCTTGTTTCAGCTCCATGAGGGCCCTGTCCCTACTGCCCCTAAAACTCCTAAATCCACCCGGGTCACAGTGAGAAAAATGAAGCCAGCTTCTGAATGGGACAAGCCCAAACCAAAAATGTTAGTACATCTGTGATGCAAGTACATCTGTGATGCAAGAAAGATAACTCTATATGAATATGAATTTCCAAGCTAAAACAGCTGTTAAACTGTGAATGAATAATCCGTAATATTATAAACTGATATTTGTATATTTTTTAATTTACAATTTTACAATTGAACTTGACTTTATTTTAAAAAGCTTTAAGAAGGGAATTTTTTTTTTTTGGAATATACAAGTGTTCAATGAGTTGAGAAAATAATATTTTGAGTTACCTCCCTTGACAGAGTAACTGTGGCCAGACCTGCTCCTGTGGATGCCCCAATAAAGGAACCAGATTACTCAGGTAAAACTTTTCCCTCTCTCTTTCTCTCTCTCTCTGGATCAATCTACTCGGGCATGGCCTCCCGCTCTCATAATTTAATTATGTTCAAATTTCATGTATATGTCCCATTTATTTTGTTAAAGAGTTTTCATAAAAATATTTACTAGTGGATCGAGCTTTCTGTAAAACTCTGGAGTAAATATCAACTGATATGACCAATGTTTAATGGCATATGTGAGAAATAAACTACTATGTTTTTCAACCTTTTATGAATGAATGTTTCTCACCATGAACATGCATTAATTTAATTATTATAATGATGTGTGTTTTTTGTAGAATATATCCTCAGTCATGAAAATTAAGAGTTGCAAACAGATTTGAAAAATGTGATTAAATGAGAAAATGTGATTAAAAATTGTCATGAATAATATTTGGTTTTCAGCAATTATTGCAAATTAAACACATTTCCTGAAAAAAACAAGACTTTCAAATAAATTCTATGTTCTTACTTTCAATTTAGGTTTTGCTGGTCCCCGCTATGATGAGGATGGAGCACCAATTCCTCACAGCCTACTGGGGTCCTATGAGGAGTTCAGGAAAGAGGCCATCAAAAGGGGGGACCTACTGGTAATTCCCAAATAAAATATACAGTTTGTTCAGCATTGGATTAAGTCTTCAATGTCCTTATATAACAAGATGTTTAACTCCACTTGCTTTAGTGTTAGAACAGTTGAGTGAGTTGTCAAGATAAATCATTCTCTTAAGACTAACTGAACTTAGACCTGATATAGTAAAATATGCTCTGACAATGACACTTTTAGGTATTGACAGTCTGAATATATTTAAGAGGAGTTATTCCTCTTTGCAGAGCATTCCAGAATGTAAAAGTCTTTACCTGTCCTGTGCCTTTTCTTTTTTTTTTTTTAATATTTTGTCTTTCCTTGATCAGGACCTACCAGTTTCACGAGAGGGTGATGTACAGCCAGACAAACCGACCTTGAAGTACGAGAAAAAGAGACGACACAGACCTGAACCCCTCCAACCCAATGAGAATAATGCCCTGATTAACTGGCAGATGAAAATGATGGAGAGAAAGAGACAGCAGGGATATATATCAAGTAAGTAGAGGGGGGCACATGTTTACCATGTTTACTGACTGACTGGAAACTCTAGATCTTTAAGCACATGGAGGTGAAATATTAAGTACAGTGTATGCTGTATTACTACTGGGCTGAGTTCAAGAATGTAGCAGCAAGCCTAGCTGCAAGCCTAAATTTCTAGGTCTATTGAATGCACTGTATGATTTAATGTTTGTTATCCTCATGTAGGATTAGCATTTCCTTCAAGATCCTAGCTCTTTGTAGAGATACATAGCCACTACAATCTTGAACACTCCCCTGATAAATAATTTTCTGTGAATGTGATGTTTTACAGAGCTGCTACAGAAGAATCCCGAGGATTTAGCGATGAATGCTGCAGACAATTATCGCAGAATTCAAGAAGAGAGATACATCATTGATAGATCCATACCCTTCATAGATTACGGAAAGGGATGTAAGTACAGACAAACCTCGTTATCTCAAACTCCATACAACCATGAAAAAAACTTTCAGATATCAGGGGAATGCTGAGATTCGAAATATCCATCAGGGTATAATACTTAAGGAATATGTGGTTGATACTTAATCACTTCAACATATTCATGGTATTCGAGATATTGGTGTTCGGGATACCCAAGTTGAACGGAAGTTCAACTGTATTTTAAAATGATGTGTCAAGTTTCATAAATTGTTAATAGTTATTTAAGGTAAAGGGCAAAATACATTATGTAGTATTGAGAGTTTAAAGCATACAGATATTTTATTTTCATAATGTTTATTACAAAAATTTGAGAAAGAAAATTGAATGTAGGTTTGCCCATCCCCCCCCCCCCCCCCCCCAAAAAAAATTATTGCATGTTAAGGTATGTCACTCGTCAGCCTTTTAGAAAAGTTCAGTCAGAACCTCTAACTTAAAAACTATTTATTACAATACAATCTTTATAACATATTTAAATTAAACAATGTAAAATGTTCAACATTCAATTAAAAAACTGCTCAAAAATTCATAAAGAAACAAGATTTATAAGGGACTATTTCTTGTGGTGGAAGGATATTTAGCAGAAATTTCTGCAAATCTACACATTTATTATATTTAATATCTTGGAACTTTAGCCTCACATATTTTTACTCAGAGAACATATTCCGTTATGATATGCCTGGAATATTATAAAATATGTGTCTATTTATATTTTTATAACAAAATTTACACCTTTGCTCAACAAATTTTGCCAAGAAATGAAGATATATTTAAGAAGTCAAGATAAAATTTAAACAGTTTTTTGCCAGAAAATCGCATATTTTGACCAATATTTCAAAATTTACATCACTGACCCCAAATTATTTCTTTCAATATTTTAAACTACTCGATACTTTTGACCGATCAGCACTTAAGTTGTAAAAAGTTTGATACAAGAAAATATTCTATTGCCTATTTAGATTTTTAATACCCCAAATATGAGACTTTTTTTAGTGCAAAAAGGTCACACAATAATTCACGCACATGAATTTGCATGATTTGTTCAATGATAAATATTATTCAAACTATTTTACGTAAAATAAGATTATGTTTATTGCCATGGTTACATCTGATAAAATATGATAACGGTTAAAGTGATTAACCAAAGAGTTACAATTTAAGTGCAAAAAGGTCAACTTAATTGTACCGTAGCTCAGTTAGATGCACACTGACACTCCATTTTCTCTGCGATTTGAGTCATACTATATGAGTACTTATCCAAAATATACTTCTCAAAAAATCCTTGATATAAGAAATTTCACGAGTGACATACCTTAATGCTTCCTCTAAAATTCTTCATCAAAGTAGTAAGAGTTATTTCCCTTAACAATGCTTTCTATTTTGTTTGTTTATTTTTCAGATCGTGTGGGCAGTGAGTTCTGGAAACAACAAGAGAGATTTGGAGATGAGGAAACTGGCATACAGTAGGTGTAATCTTAATTATTACATAGAAAAATTAAATTGTTCATTTTATTTTGTAACTTTGTAATCGCCTGAGTAAATTGATGTTTAAAAATTGGATGGGGATATTTGTTTGTTTTTTAATTTCATGGTTAATCAAATGGTTAAAACTGTTTTTCCTTGATGTACATTTTGAATTTACTGAATGGAAGTAAATACAAATTTAAGAACAAGACAAAGATTAAAGATTGATGAAGCACAAGTGCACACACCAATGAATTTTCCAAGTTTGCTTGAAAATAAAATCTAAATCCTTTTCATCTGAATTCACTGCACTGTTTTGGAGAATCTAAGAATTTTTTTTATTTCTTTCAGTATGACATTGACTAAATCAGAACAGGGCTACCCACCCCCTGTAGAACATATCGGTGTTCCAAAAGCCATCAGGAACGAGAAGGGGTGGAATTGGCCCCCCTATCACACCACCCCAGTGCACTACCCCTGGCACAAAAACCCGTACCTAGAGGAACGAAAGAACCAGCTGAAGGAAGTCATTAGTGAACTGGATCCACATAGACCGGTAGGTAGTAAAAAAAAATGTCAGGGAATTTGGTGATGGCCAATATTAGCTTTTGTATGAAATCAAAATTCTCCTCATATGTAATTTGTGGAACATGACATTGCCAATAAGACAATATGAATACTGCTGTAAAGTTGGTCATTTGAAAGGGAATGATCCTTTATTGAAATTTATTTCAGCATTGTATGTTAATTTTTCCTTTAAAATAATAGTGTCATAATTTGCAAAGATATGCACACAAATTAAACAATGTGCCATTTAAAAGTTTACTGTTAGTAGTAAGGTATCTTAAAATCTTATAAGATTTAATAACATAAAAATATAGCCTTACACTAGCTAAGTTTTTGCCTCAACTTTGTTGAAGAAAGAAATAACTTGGGACCCTCTGTTTTTGTAGGAGTTTGACAAATTGGAGATCATAGGGACGGCTAATCCAGTGAACCATGAACGCGTCCAGTCTAACCTCGGGATGGTCGAGGATGAGGAGAGACTGACTGACGGGGGTCTAGACATGGACTACATGTAAGTACAGTCAAACCTCATTATCTCGAACTCGATGGGATCGAGAAAAAAAACTTGAGATATCCAAGGATTTGAGATATTGGGGCAAAATACTTAAAAAGAATGAGTAATTTGTACTTCCAAATCACTTCGACTTATCCATGGTATTCGAGATATCAGTGTTTGAGATACTGGAGTTCAACTGTAAAATAGGTAAAAAGTTTGTAATTGTCTGTTTGTAGCTCAGATGGTACCTTTGAAATAGAAATGTGAAATAAACCTTAATTTATCTTAAATCATCTAAATTTATCTTAAATCAGTATAGTTGTGTGCTTACACATTAGGGATGGGTATGGGCAAAAATTTCGTATTGTGATATATCACAATTATTTTCCAAAAAATCACGAAAAATCGTGATATTTTTACATACAATTTTTACTACAATTTCAAATGAATTTCCTTAATTAATATAGTGCTACAATAAATACCATGAGATGGGTGAAATTTGACCTTCATATCAACTTAAAAATATTCCAACTTAATTTTCTTTAAAAATACAGAGAGCCTCCACAAGAAATAAATGACAAAGATGAGAGCAAAGATGAAGCAGTCTTCGGACCATCCATCAGCTTCGCTGGTCAGCCCGCCCGCTGGACAGGGGACAGTCACAGCTATGCTGACCAGATTGGAATTGAGGCCAGAGTGACCTTTGAGTCTCTGGCCGGTGACAGGGTCACGTCGTATCTGTACATTGTGAATGACGGAACCACTGCTGTATATTATGATTGGAAGGTTAGGAATTTTTAAAGTTTTATGGAAAAAATGAAAGTAGAGAATGAAACTAGGGAATTATATGGTTGAAATTTTAAGATGAAGTACTGTAGTCTAGATTTTTTTGATTTTCATGTATTTATTTATTCTGTTTTCCATCCACAGAGGCTTCCACGAGAGAACCCTTTTGACCTAGTTCATGCCAGAGTCCAGAGATTTTATTTCAATAACAGCAGTGGTATGTTTGTCACTTTAAAAGTATGGTTTTGCTTTTAATGTTGTATGGCAAAGTTAATAAGAGACATTTTTCAAAAGTCTCAATTTCAGTGATTGTGGGGAATGTTTTGTGTTAGAAGTTGTAAAGAATATGTTAGGAATGCATAGTTAGTAACATTTTGAGAAGGCAGCTCAAAAATATTAAGATGTAATTCTCAAAGAATGACACTTTTTTGTGTGCAATAAATATACACTTATTTTCAGTGGATGAATCTGTAGCTCTCTGGTTGTCCATCCCAATTTTTTCAGCCAGTGAGCTACAGATCTGCAGCTGCCTAATGTTATGAAAAGTTGTTAGAGAAAAAGTTACACATTGTATAAATAAAGTCCCTCTGCCGAGCCCCATGTCACAGTAGGTGTTAGCGATAAAAAGATCCCTCACTGCTTTTTGGCCATAATTAAGTGCTTAGAACAGGATTTCAAAGGCAATTGGTGGCAGCCCTTATGAGTGAAATACTCTCAAAGAGACATGAACAAACAAAATAAAATAATAATGATCTGATAATGTAATAAAATTCTGTTCTAAAATACTGTACACATACTTTTTTTTCAACTGTGTCATAATTCTGCAGAATCATGATTTCTGGTTATTCTACGGGTAGAAATTATGTGGATTTTTTAGAGTCCCACTATGTGCCTTAAATGTACTTTAAGTATGCTGGGACAAATTTCCACAGAAAATTTGTGACTGCATATATAGCATAAATTAATACCACATGGAAAAAACCATATCTACAGTAGTCATGGTAAATACAAAAAGGAAATCTATGAAGTGTGCATTTTTTTATTTATTCAATAAGTCAACATGGTGATTTCTATTTATTTCACTCATCATTTTTACTTATTTTCTATTATTTTAATGACATTTTTGTAATATTTTTAGACTTTTTTTATGTCACATCAGAGTGTCATTCTTTTATTTTAGCACTGGCAAAAGTTTTTTTTTATGCCCCCCTATCGAAGATTTGGGAGTATATAGTTTTTGCCCTATCTGTCCGTCTGTCTGTCTGTTTGTCCGCAAAAACTTTAACATTGCTCATAACTTTTGATTGGTTGGAGCTATGGCTTTCATATTTCACATGTGTATTCTTTGTGACAAGTCCTTTTTTTGGGTACCATCATATTTGACCTTTTGACCTTGACCTTGGAGTTTGACCCAGTTTTACAAAATTTCACCCAACTTTAACCTTGGCTATAACTTTTGAACGGTTAAAACTAGGGCTTTCATACTTCACATGTGTAATCCTTGTGACAAGGCTCAGGTGAGCTTTCACAGTGGGGGATACACATTTTATATGAGAATGTATAGGAAAAAAATCGTTAAAAATCTTCTTTGCAGTAGGAGCAGGGTTTGAATTACAGATCAAGAGATATGAATCAGACCCCCCTTTCCCCTCCCTCCCCCTCCCCCCATGGGGTTATAAAAATTTGGCATATGGATATAATCTAGCCAAAGAAATCTTTTTAAAAAATATTGGGACATGATTATTCATTGCAGATCTACTTATCTTTTAAGGATGCAAAAGTTTTTTGAACAATTTTTTAAACATTGAAAAAATTACATCTTATAAAGTTGTGACATACATGTGATAAGTCAAAGACCACAAAACTGTACAGGAGCCATAAAAAAAATGGAATTTGGGTGAAAAAACTGTACACTGCCTATCAAAAAGCGGTACAAAAAATGGTATAAAATATCGCTTAAATTCTTCTGAAATTCCATCGTAATCATTGTAATAAACATCGTATATTTTTTACCTACGAAGATCTGGGTCAGATTCACGTATATTAAGACTAAAGTCATGTATATCAACTTTAGAAGTTAGCTTAATTTTTTTCAATCAAGTTACGTATACAAAACATTAACAGTAATTAAGTACCCCTTAAAAAATAAAGCTACCTAAAGGGGTATTTGATACGGATTTTTAGCAAGATAATTATCCCAATTGGCAGTTCACACCTTCGCACGCGATGGTTTGTGTACACTACACAATTATCAGAAGGTCAAGTGTCAAACACAGGTGACGTTTTCCAGTGTCTCGCGAGCGAGAATGAGAGGAAAATGGTGGCATTTAGCGAGAAATTCAAAATACTGTACAAATTTTCATATTCCGTGAATCTTGGTGTCCCGCCGGTACACGATGAATGGGCTCAAAAAACTGTACATTTTGCGTACAGCCTGTACATATCACATGTATGTTGTGAGTATTGTGTTTACCTATATCATTTTCAACATAGGGTAGCAGCATTTACCCCCAGGAAAAATGTTCAAAGAAAACAAAGTAATGATCAGTAGATATCACTTTTGTTTACTTAAAAAGGGGAGAAAAATACTTGCAGATGAAGTTGTCAATTAATATGTCTTGAGTATAATAATGCACTTAGTCAAATAATGCAAATTTAGCAACTTCAACATCAAATTCGTCTGAGGTCCTGGTTGGATAAAGCGTTATTTTAACGATTTGGATAAATTAAGTGCATGTAAAAATTTCAACAATCCAGATAAAGTGCACATAAATCAAACTATAATAAATATTTTCTTGTATGCCATTTATACTTACTTTCTATTATTAGTGAAATTATATTTCAAAGTTTTATTAATATATTTTTTTTTATCATTTTACGTCATTTTTTAATATTTGCAGTTTCATTTTTCATAACCTTTCTAATGAAACTTACATAATGGTCGTTATGATAGGCCAATTTGATATCCATAATTAACCAAAATATTATGACATTTTGATTAACAAAATATTCTTTAGCAGTTTTGGATCATTATCATGTAAATGTAAGTAATAAAAGAAATAAGGCATTATATTTACATGAACATTTGTTGGGATTTACAATGCACTTGGTATATGAACAATCTTCTGCAATGCCCATTGGTGCAAAAGTGGCTTCCAAATAATTCTGAGAAACTACCAATTCTCATACAAGACTATAAAAACGATTAAGTACAATTTTCGTAATTTTTTTTTCTAAAAAAGAAACATGTAAGTTTAATATTATTCTAAAGTTTTGACAATTTTCATACCTTCGTCTGTGAAACTGCTTGCATTATATTCACAACCTTAAAAAATAGCCTATTATGTAGGGATGTCAATTTTGTCAATAATTCATATTTGAATATTCAATGAAAGTATTCGAATATATTCGAATATTCGATAAACGCAGGTGAGTTAAGGCTAGGTATAGGCATTTCTTTGCAAATAAACTAATTAAAATGTCTAAGGACTATATCTATTATAAGGGGAAAGTTAAAACTTATTGTCTAATACATACTTGGTACCCACGACATAAGATAGCCAGTACACATTATGACGTCATATTATGACGTCATTGTTCTTTACTACACAAAATTATAATGGACATCAACAAAAATGCTTCGGCGCAAGGGCATGCTCTATTTTATTCAACTGAAACAAGGTATATTTAGAAGCAAAATATCACAAAGATTGCTAGTATTTCTGCACAAATATCAACAGCTCAATTGTATAATTTCTATTTGAAAAGTTTTAAGTTGAATAAGGGTAAAAATGTACAGTCCGGTACATGTTTCCTCAAATTCCGATGAAATGAGAAAATGCCTAGGATTTGTGCAGTAGTTTTATTAATCTATAGAATATTCTTCTTAGCATTATACAATTTTTATGTAAAATTTAATAGGGTAATCCCTTGCGCCGAAGCTGTTTTGTTGATATGTTTTATAACATCAAGTAAGTAAGAACAATGACGTCATAATATGACGTCATAATGTGTACTGGCTATAACATATTGTGAGTACTAAGTATGCATAAGAAAATAAATCAAAACTTTCTCTGAATAATAAATATACCTCATATGCGTTTTTATTAGCTCATTTGCATAGAAACGCCTATACCCAGCCTTAACTCACATGCAAAATCTGTTTTATTTTAAATATGCATCATCCTACTTTCATGAAAGGTTTAGCGTAGGTATTCTTATATTGGAAGTAAAATTGTATGAAGACTTTTGTAGGTGTACAATAAGGAATTCCATTTGATATTTGTCAATGCATGTTTGAAATAAATATTTGATTTAAATGTAGAAAAGTATAATTTTAACAAATGATACACATGTTTTTACAGTAGCTCCAACTGAGGAACCAGTTGTCCTACCAAAGGCAGAATAGTCATATACTTTTCAGATTTCAATGCATGTAATTAATTACAATATCAGCCTAATAAGGGATATAATTATAATCTTTGATACAGTGTTTTTAAAATATAAACAAACATTTTCATAGACAATTTTTCCAGGTAATTAACTAATTTCCTGATAATAAAACATAAAATTCAGGATTATGTACAACCCAAGATAATCAGGTAATTTACACATTTATTCTGAAATTTAGCCCTTTAATTACAATATTAATTACAGACTAATTCTATCAGAAAATCATTTAATGATCAATTAAATTTATTTGATAAGTATACTCTTCACGTCTTTTAGATATTCTTAGAAAGTTTTCATTTTGTCCTCGATTTTAGATCCAATGGTATTTAACTAATAAAAACTATGAAAGTACTTTTGTATTACATGTATATATAAAGCATTAATGTATAATTTTTCAACACCTTACTCAAAACAAAATAATTTAGTAGATCTGTAAGAAAGTAGTGAAGGAAATCGCTAGAAATTGATCGCTAGTAAATTAAACGGGGATGATTCCAGCAATGTTCTAATCAAAATTTATTAATCACAGTACTTTTTTTATGAATTAATCTGAAAAACACCGAATATTCGAATCTTAAATTCATATTTGAATATCAACTCATCGAATGAATATTCGAATGTTCGAATATTCGTTGACATCCCTAGTATTATGTTAAGTGATGATCGAGTTTTGTTTTAAGGTATGTTTCGTACCCCCATCAGTTAAGATGTTTGGCAAAAATACCATCTTATTTTTTTAGTATAGTTTCTTTTCAATCAAATGAACCAGTTAAATGAGAAATTGCTATATACTGTTCATCGTATCAGATAAAAAAAAATTTAACTTTCATGAAGAATTGGTATTGAACCTGTTAAATAGGTAAAAATTACCACCACAAAATTGCCTTGTGTGCACTTGCTCAATATGTATGACATATGTAGACCATTCCAAGTTTCTCCTTTGTTAGCGTCTGTATGCACTTTTTGTACATGATGTAACTGACGTACTTAGACCAGAAAAAATACACAAAATCAGTAGTCAAGAAATAAATTCTGTGGTTGAAACTTTTCAAATTGTTTCAATTTCTTTCTTTACTTTAATTTTGAGAATATACCAAGTTTTACTACTTTGATTTTGCAATAAAATATTATATCTTTCTAAGAGAAATATAGAATTATGAAAGCAAATCCTTTGAAAGGTGTCTTTTTTATGACTCTAGTCTTTAAGTGTGTGTTTTATTTTTTGGCTTTGTGTGTTTTTTATGAATATGTAGATAGGCTCTTGGATGAGGGTGGGTACTAAACAGCGAAAAAACTTAGTCTTAGAATAGCCTCATTTGAAATCCTGCCTTGATCTTCCAGTTTACAAATGCATACCCATATATTTCTTTTCATTACATTTTCAACAGTGAAATACTGTTATTTATTGAATAAAAGTGATAAAATGTTTTCATAATGTGAAGAAATATCTGATGTGCGGCAAAACTCAAGATTTTCCTTCCCTTCATGAAGTGTTGTTAAAAAGTACTCCCTGACCTGCTGTAAGATAGTGAGAGTAAATAATCATCCTGATAGAGACTAAAACTGTTTACAATTTTCAATCTCAAAATCGCTTAGCAGACAGTATGACATATCATTGTGAAGTCACAGCCTACGACACTACATTATGAAGAGACAGAGGCAAAGGGAAAATCAAAGAAAAAATCTAATAAAGAGAAAATTCAACGTTTTTTATCTGAATATGGAATATTCTTGGATATGGAATTCATTTCACTTGTGAAACAGGATTTTTTTTTATGTTTTTACTGGTGCGTTGCACTCGTGAAAATGTCAAAAATCCTCTGTTCCAGCTTGTGAAATAAATTCCATATCCAAGTATACGAAGCATTGAATATCCTCTATTTATTAAGTGAGTGATATCCACTGGATAAAGGGGTTAACATGATAACTACAATATGTGTATAAATATCAAGTAATTCATCATCCAATTTCAAGACCCCTTGGGTCCAGAAGAGATTTAAAGAAGAGATGTGCATGTAAAAGTCTTCATTTTTTACTTTTTCTTAAATTTTTTTTCTAATACAGGGAAACCCTACAGGAAATTTTTCAGGGGTTAGGAAAATGTTCACAAATTATCTATAATGGTGACTTTGGAATCATTTAATTTGTAGGGGTATTTTTTTTTTCTTTTCTATTCAAATTTAAAGGTGTATGTGGAAGTAATTTCATCAGTGAATGTTATTATGAAAGATGAAGTTTATACACTGTAGAACAATTTTCCTTTATAAGAAACCTGTTAGTTTGTGGGTAAAGGTGGTGTTGCCCATGAAATCAATGAAAAAATTGAACCCCCACAAAATATAATGATTCCAAAATATTATTTTGTTTGGTTGCAATATCCAAAAGTTGTACTTTACAATTTTGCTATTCTTTAAGATTAACATGTTACGATTCAGATTTAACTTTCTTCAAGTATTAAGGTATGAATTTAATATGATTATGTTGGTGTTTCATTTATTTAATTTAATTTTTTTTTCTCAAAAAGAGGAATAATGTTTATTGAACAATGAATTAATTTGAAGTCTTTCTTAATCCTTGACTTTGTACCCTGATACATACCCTGTAAATTTTAATGGAATAATCATCCCAGCCCTACTGTGTTTCATGTAAGTTTACCTACCGGTATTTATCAAGTGAAATCATGCTCACCAGAGACTGGTGCTTCCTTTTCAACACTCTCATGAATATTTTCTAGGTGTCATTTTGCCAGGAGAAACCATGAAGTTCCCATTTGTCTTCAAGTCCCCCAATGCAGGTGTCTTCTCGGAGCAGTGGAAGTTTGAGACTCGACCGAGTTTATGTGGGGGAGCTGCATTAATTGTGACACTGAGGGGGATCGCTTTGCAGGAGGATAAATTCCAGAAAGAAAGGGAGGAACTAGAGGTAAGAAACATGGGGTGGATCCAAGAATTTACTAAAATAATGTGTAGGACATGGGGTGGATAAAAAAATTAAATAAAATAATGGGTAGGACATGGGATAGATCAAAGGATTTAATGAAATAATAGATAGGACATTGGGTAGATTAATTGTGTAAATAATAGTGACTTCTGTTAATGTATGACAGACATGCAGTTAACAAGTGCTTACTATAACAACCCAATCAATTAATATACAGCATTCATAAAAGAACATGGTGATGTCCAACGTCGGTGCACGTGATGGGGGGAGGGGGGATCTTCCCTAGCCAAGGTTTTCCATCCCCTCTGCTCCCCATTGGCAGCGGAGTGGACTGAAAACCCTTGACTAGCGAAAATGGAGGGAGGGAGAGGACAGTGGGGGGGGGGGGGGGAAGGGGTTGAAAGAAGCTTTACGGTCTCTAAGAAAGGCTTGAAAAATGTGCATAATATTTAGACATGGTTGCACTTTCTTAACAAAACAAAAACAAAAAAACAGACTATTTTTCCATGATTAGAATAATATTTATCTTTTTTATCTTGGTAACTAATTGTGATGTCATTAACATGTAACACAAAAACTTTTTTTGCCTAATAAAACAATTAACGGTTTGAGCTTTTACATTCTGTCGCTTGTACTATATACAATTTTATCAGACAACAACAAGGGTTAGAAAGGTCAATGCCATTAAACGTGTTTTCTTTATCCTCAAACATCCTTATATTTATAATAATTACATCAAAGAATATTCACAGTTCCGTTACAGAATGTAAACATTGTTTGAGTTACCGGTAATGTTTTTGTGCACGTATAGGCAATTTATTAGTCACTTTTCATCAAAACAGTCTCGGACTGATGTAAAATAACAAATATTCATGATTGTATTGTTTTTTCAAAATATTTCTGTAAATCAATTCATTCGTGAGAACTTTATTTTCATGTGATTATGCGAGACTGTCTGCTTTCCAAAAAATCATTCTTGTATATATTACTATAGATGATATAGAGCAATGACCGAAGTAAAATCTTAAAAATTTGGTCTGGCTTATAAATCCCAAATAACAATCTCATGAAAATATGGTGTCATTGAAATTAAGTGATCTATTGTATATTATGAGAATGTAGAATTTTCCTAGAATATGCCTGTGTTGCACGTTTTCAGTCAAGATATTAAGATTAAGAGGAGCTTTATTTAAGGTTCATTGTCCCTCTGATAAGAGAGACAACTCTCACTGCAATTAAATGACTGTTATTCCCATTACAAACTGTCAAATGGTGATTTCAGTCAAATTTTGCTCCCAAAAGGTATGCTTAAATTGTTTGCATTTCAGTCATAATTTAGATTTGGGAAAAAACACTCTCATGAATTTTTTGACAAATCTTATTTTTGTGAACAGAGGGATATGTTAAATCTTAAAAGTTATTTTTCATCCAGAAAAGGCTCTTATTTTTAACAAATAAAGAAATTTTACTTTTTTTTCTATATTTTATTCTGCTTCATTAAGATAGACTTGATTATATTTGTTAATAAGAAGTTATTCCTACTGTCCAACGTAGAACACAACTTGGGTATTGCCCGGTGTTCAGAGTACATGTTTCAGTGTTCAAGATACCAGAGTTCCATTTTATTATGTTTTTTATTACAGAGAGACTTGCAGCAGAAGCAGGCTGAACAGGTTGCACGACAGATCTTGTATGACATCATCAGTGGAATTAAATCTCCCGACAGACCCTCGTCACCAATCGATGCTTACATCACGGATGAAGAAATCTTCCACAGAAATAATCCCAAGGTAGAGAATTAATCAGTTTAGGTGTCAAATTCACATATAGTGTTAAGTTCAAGAGTTTCAAGGTAATTATAATGTTTGTTGAGAATGTCAAGGTCACCATTTAATATGTCAAGGTCATCAGAGAAGTTTTACAATATGACAAAATGTGTCAAAGTTAGGGACTAAAAGTTTTTATGATAATAGGCAAGATTTCAAAATACACAATATTTGGATTGGATAGGATTTACTGTATATGTGTTGAAGTATTTACATGTAGATGAAATACATGTACCTGTATTCTACTTTTAGCTTCACTACAATCACACATTGGTCGGGGAACTGAAACAGCTGTACCTAGAGATTGCCCCCGAGGAGGATCGAGAGGGGCGGGTGTGGGACCTATCAGTAGAAGATCTCAAAGACGTTTGTTTTAATGCTTTTTCTTTGTGTTCATTAATCCACATTAGTGATTCTGAATGCTTCACAGAATCTCTAATCCTGTGCTTCAAGAACAAATAATTTCAACTCAGAATAAAATGTTCTTAAAACAAAAACAAAAAAAAAATGGAAATTTATCTCTGTATAGATTTTTTGTCATATTTATGTTGAAAAAAGCATATAATGTTTCAGTAGTAAGAATTATGATACTATAACTATTTATAAGAATAATCATGTAACTATTATTATAGGAGCAATCATGTAACTGTTACTATTTATAGGATTAATCTTGTAACAGTTACTGTTACTATTTATAGGAGATTGTAGCCATGGATGAGGATGATGAAAGAAAAGAGAATTTCCTCCATCAACTGAACATCATCATCTCCAAGATGTCCTTCTGTCCAAATAAACCAGTCAAGAAAGATCTGTATAAAGTGGGGTAGGTTATAACTCAAGAGATCTGTATAAAGTGGGGTAGGTTATAACCCAATAACTCCAAGATGTCCTTCTGTCCAAATAAACCATTCAAGAAAGATATGTATAAAGTGGGGTAGGTTATAACTCAAGAAAGATCTGTATAAAGTGGAATAGGTTATAACTCAAGTAAGATCTGTATAAAGAGGAATAGGTTATAACTCAAGTAAGATCTGTAAAAAGTGGAATAGGTTATAACTCAAGTAAGATCTGTATAAAGAGGAATAGGTTATAACTCAAGTAAGATCTGTATAAAGTGGAATAGGTTATAACTCAAGTAAGATCTGTAAAAAGTGGAATAGGTTATAACTCAAGTAAGATCTGTATAAAGAGGAATAGGTTATAACTCAAGTAAGATCTGTATAAAGAGGAATAGGTTATAACTCAAGTAAGATCTGTAAAAAGTGGAATAGGTTATAACTCAAGAAAGATCTGTATAAAGAGGAATAGGTTATAACTCAAGAAAGATCTGTATAAATTGGGGTAGGTTATAACTCAAGAAAGATCTGTATAAAGTGGAATAGGTTATAACTCAAGAAAGATCTGTATAAAGTGGGATAGGTTATAACTCAAGAAAGATCTGTGTAAAGTGGGGTAGGTTATAACTCAAGAAAGATTTGTATGAAGTGGGGTAGGTTATAACTTCGTATAGTGTATATACTCCCCTTAAAGTCTGATTTTTGGGAGTTAGATTTTGATCCAAAACTCCAAGTCCGACTTAAGGCGAGCCCAAGAAGCATTGGTATATTTCTGGATTTCTGGATTGTAGGGAGACAAGGGATATAACTCTTCAACCAAACAAAAACATGGACGAAATAAATTAAATGGTAGCTGTTTGATTTGTTGAGAATAAATGGTGAAATACCTATATCTTATCCAAGTTTTTTCTATGTTTAGCGTCCACCCATCTTTCAAAAGCCTGCCTACCTATTCGCAAAAAACACACAAGCCAAAAAATAGAACACAGACTTTTTAGTCATAAAAATGATGTAATTCAAAGAATTTGATTTCATTAATATTTTTCTTGTAGAAAGATCTATTCATTAGCAAATCAAAGTATTGAATGCTTAAAATATAACTAATATGAAATATATTGTAGGCAAAAATTTAGAGAAATTGACAGAATTCAAAGATTTTGACCAGAATAATCAATTTCAGGACTCCTGATTTCGATTTTTTTTTTCTGATATGGGGTATCAAAAACCAAGGCACATGCGGATGCTAAACAGAGAAAAAAAACTTGGAATGGCCTTATTATTGACACAGGTATATACATTAGATCATTAATATGAAATTTATTCGTTGAGAATGAAAGATTTAATATCTGTGTCATTCCTCATAACATTATTGACTGAGTGAAAAAGTCATTCAATGAGACATTTGGTATTCATATGATATTTACATTAGTAAAATCTCTTTGAAATGATTTTAAAAGTTAATTGTTTAGTGAATTACCATTGATGTCATCTGATTAGGAATATGGTTTTTCCTTCAGTGTCATGCGTATGACTTCACCCCCAAGTAATCCTTCCTTTATACAGTTAAACAATAAAGAAGACCTGATGGCTGGGGTTACCTGTACTTATAAACAGTATTTCAAAAAACATCCCCAAAAATCCTTCCACAGATTTTCAATTTATGTCATTTCAATGGAAAAAAATAATCATATAAATGGTAAATATAAGTACTGTATACAGGGAAATTTTCGCCCCCGTTTTATATTTGCACCTTTTGCCATCATCACAATTGGGCAAATTTCAAAGAAAACGGCATTACCTCTTAAACAGAACTGTGTCTGGGCGAATTCTAAATGGGGCAAAGTTATTTGCAGGTGTGAATGGGTGAAAATAAGGTGGGGCAAAAATAACTCTGTATACAGTAACGTCTATCATAGATTTGAAAAGATCATGCAGTTACTTCCCTTACACGGGTATTTTTTCATGAATTACTAACAATCTTTTTGAAATATGCTGGTGTAAGGATTTTTAGCATCAGGAATCTGAGTGGTTTTTGTCCCCATGCTTTCACAAAAGTGAGGGGACATTAAATCTCATTCTTCTGTCAGTCTGTCTGTCACAAAAACTTTAACCTTGGTCATAACTTTTGAATGAGAAGAGACAGGGCTTTCATATTTCACTTGTACATTACCTGTGACAAGACCTTTCCAAATATACTATGATTTTTGACCCGGTGACCTTGACCTTGAAGTTTGACCTACTTTTCAAAAATTTTAATATTACCGTATATACTCGCCTATAAGTCGGTTTTTTGGGAGTAAAATTTTGGTCCAAAACTCTAGGTCCGACTTATAGGCGAGTCATAAAAAGATTAGTACTATCTGGATGTCGAAATGTAGTATGGATATATCATATCATTTATGCATTCTAAGATTATACATAAAGTTCAAGTATTTACATATTTTAATAACTTTATTTTTATTTAAAGTGTGCATTATGTATTTTTCTTAATGATTTAAAATTAAATATCGGTGTCATTTCTAAGAATATTAACCAAAACCAGGTTAAAACATCAGAGCATTGGTTTGAAATTGTCAACTGATTCTAACAAAAAGTTGTACCAACTTATAAGCGGGTCAATGACAAATCCCTCTAAAATAACCTCAAAAACTACAACCGACTTATAGGCGGACTGACTTATAGGCGAGTATATACGGTACTTTAAATTGGTCATAACTTTTAAATGAGAAAAGATAGGGCTTTCATTTTATACATCATGTATATTACTTGTGGCAAGACCTTTCCAAATATACTATGAGTTTTGACCCCATGGCCTTGACCTTGAAGTTTGACCTACTTTTCAGAAATTTTGATTGAGAAGAGACAGGACTTTCATATTTGACATGTGCATTACCTGTGACAAGATCTTTCCAAGTGTACTATGTTTTTGACCCCTTGACATTGACCTTGAATTTTGACCTACTTTTCAAAAGTTTTAACATTACCTTAAATTGGTCATAAAATTTGAATGAGAAAAGATATGGCTTTCATATTTAACAAGTACATTTACCTGTGACAGGACCTTTCCAAATACACTGTGGTTTTTGACCACATGACCTTGAGGTTTGACATACTTTTCAAAATTTTTATCTTTACTTATAACTTTTTGATTGAGAATAGATAGGCTTTCATATTTGACATGTGCATTACCAGTGAGAAGGTGTTTCCAAGCATGCTATGATTTTTTTTACCCTTTGACCTTGACCTTCATGTTTGATCTAATTTTCAAATATTTCATCAGTGTTGCTAACTTTTGGAGTGAAGATAGGTCATTCATATTTGACACGTGCATTACCTGTGACAAGCATTTCCAAATGTACTATGATTTTTAATTCCTTGACCTTGAAGTTTGACCTAATTTTCAAAAATTTTAACATTGCTAATAATTATTGATTTAGAGAAGATATGGCATTTACAGTTGACTTGCATTACCTGTTTCAAGACCTTTCTGATTATATACTCTGGTTTTGGATATTTTTTTTTAACATGTGCATTACTTGTGACAAGACCTTTCGGATTTTATTATATTTGACCTCATGACCTTGATCTTGAAGTTTGATTTATTTTTGAGAAGCTATAATCTTTGCCATAACTGTTATTAATTCAATAATTGATGTCTTTTTTGTATAATGTACAGACAAGACAGGGCACACGAACTAGACAGTTACAATATACCATGAATAATGGCATCCCATCCACTAAGACACTGAAAGCGGGGGACCACAATTATTTAAATTTGCTTGTTTTTTTTTTTCAAAAATGAAAGCCATTTTTTAAATCTTGCCTTCAATCATGCTTAATGGATATTGTTCTTTTTAGATGAGTTATTGATTTTTATACAGTAAAAGATGTGGTTGGCATAGTATGTCACTTCCAAATCTTTCCTCTTGGAGTTTCCCATTTAGCAGTTTGGGTGGGTGAGCATGCATCTAACTGTTAATGTCTTCAATATTGGAATTTCCAGGTATGAACTTTTGGTAGAGGCCGTAGACAGCATCGTTCGGGAGTCCTATGCGATAAGACACACAATGGGATTACCTGAGAGAGAAAACGATGACCTCCCAGATGACTTCAGTGAGTATAAAACCATAAAAATCCAAAACATTACGTGATGGATTGAATGAATTTTATGCAGTGGGCGTGTTTTTTTGTATATTTTTGTTTGTTTATATAAATTAATCAGATTCACATAGATTTATTGCTTACTTTATTTGCTATTTGAAATTAAAAAGTTACAAAGTAGATTAAAAATGTGTAGGATTAGGTGATTATGATCTCAGCTAGTTATACCATACTTTTATTTTTTTATTTTTAAGTTTTATTTTTTTTTAATTTTCCTAAATTTAATTAAGACTTTTATCTGAAAATGTTTTGTCACTGAAGCCGAAAATGTAGGCACACTAGACACAGCAGATATGGTCACCAACACTGAAGATGGTGGGTTTTTAGAACAACACTGTAGCCCATTATTGCATCACACATTTGTATAAACCCTGTAGTTTCTATAATCAGAATGATAGAACTATCTTGAAATGTCTTTATGGGAAAAAATTCTGGCATTTTCTTGTTTTGGTCTGCATTGAGTTGAATTTCTCACTGGTATTCAATGTAGATAATGTTCATTTAATTTCTTACTTTTTTAGTAAGTGACTTAAGAAAAAATAAATCTGTTTCTCTGCTGAATTTTTTTTTCTTTAATAGATTTTTTTAACCTGTGTGGGATTTTGCTTTCGTTAAATAGATCTATTGAGAAGAAAATGTTGATCTGTTTTGTCTATACCCCCCTTTTTAGCTGTGTGCTTCCAGGGTGTTGATCTTTTCATAGCAAGTAGCTGTAGCATTATATTAAGACATTATATAGGTTTTATATCATGATATACAGTAATTACTGTCTAGCTTTGTCTAAATTTGAAATATCACAATGAGATAAATGTTGACCCTAAATTTTTAAAAATTATATTATATTGAAAAAAAAGGACAAGTCTTTGAATGTGCTGTATTTTCACACAAAAATATACTTACAGCATACAGGATCTTTAGGAAAGTTACAAGAATGACTTCAGTTGTATCTGCATTCAGTGAGTGATTGGTTGAATACTAGACATGAGTTCTCCATTCTGCACTGTGATTGGTCAATCATTGATGGTTGATCATGTGACCTAACACTTGCTATTTATTGGTTCTTTAATTTTCTGTTTGAATGAGTGTCTTTAGGGTCTGACATTACAGTAGAACATTATAAGTTATGTGTTTCTTCTTCTGCTTTTAGGATTTCAATTAAGTTAATTTAGTGGGGTTTTTTTGTTCTATAAATAAAAAAAGACTATAACTACAGTTTTGTCCAATATTTGTCTCCACTTTTGTGTGATCTGGTGTTTGGGGTTTCAGAAATTTGCTCAGTCAAATCTGATCTATCTAACCAATATTTTTCTCCTATGAATTCTTTGTTTGGCCACAAGAAATGAACCAAAGGATATTTTCTTGAAGATAGCTGTGCTGTTACATCTTCTAAACATTATAGTGTGTTTTAAGTCATTTTTGATGTGCAGACAAATTAGTTTTAACATTCCTGTAGATACATTAATCAGAGATGTGTTACATTTGGTAGACATATATTTGTTTGTCATATCTGGTATTGTATGAAAACTTTTACTTTATGAATAAAGAATTTTTTTTGAAAAAATATATATATCTTCAGTGAAAAGCTATGACCATATAGAAAGTGAATATGCAGCTTATTCATTTCTATAACTGTACAATGTTTAGATTTGCAGTTTTGATTTCATTGCATTAATTTATCTTTAAGATTTTAAAGAAAGAAAAAAAGTATTTTTCATCAATTTTATTACCAGTATTTTTAAAAACATTAATTTTGACAAAAAAAGTTTTATGAGAATATTTATTTCCATCATTTTTGTCCTTCTCTCAGATGCGTCTCCGGAATCACGGTTAAGTAACCGTCGTCAACCATCACGTTTGTCTAATGCAGACAGTGACGTCAGTGAGTTATCTCCCCTAATAGTAACATAGAACTTCCTTTAGGATTATCTCCCTTTGTAACACAGACAGCTGTTGTAACGTAAAGCTGTCATAGAAAAATTTCCATTTACATCTTCAGATATTCAGCTTTTAATAACATAATGCATGTAACACTACTTAAGAGTCAGGAAAAATTGAGAGATTGCCTGCATGTTTTGAAATCAATTATCTTTATTTTGAAGTTTATCTACTTTCTTTTATGTAGAACAAAATTCTTTTTTTTTTTTTTTGGGGGGGGGGGGGGGTCTTTAGAACATCAGACTTATCACATTTCTTTTATGGTACATGTGTTTATATCACTTATAATTGTACATGTAAGTTTCTCTCTGTTTTGTTTTTATTTTGTTTTTGTATTTTTATATGCATTTTCTGAGGGAAAAAACTGTGATATTCCCATATCCAAGCAAAGCAAAAAAAAAAAAAATACAAAAGGAAAGAAAGAAAACAAACATGAAACAAAAAATATACATTGAAAAAACCACTAAAAAACATTCTTAGCAGTTAATTAAGAGAATCCTTGGGTTGATAAAATGCATCAACTTTCACAAAGTGAAACTGAAGACTCATTTGTTCAAAACATATCTTTATTTCTTTATAAAGGTGAGGGTCTACAATTCTGCTGTTCTGCTAAAGTCAGTCTAAAACTATTTTACATATATCTTCCTACCAACGATATCATGTAGCAATTAATGAATCGCTTGCAGCTACAATTATAATTCTTTTTAGCAAAGACTAATAAATTTTAATAATGTTATTTTTTTTTCAGGTGTAATATTTTTGATTTTGTAGGAAAAACTGCTTACATTATCAATAGAAATAGTAGCTACTTATTTTCCATAACTTTTCAGGATATACAATTCTTGGTCCAAGGGACAAGGATGGGCCGGGTCATAAAAGAGGGTCAAAAATTTACACTTTTTTCCATAAATATTCAGAGGACAATTTTTTCCAGGCCAAAGCAACCTGAAGGCGAAATCTGTTACAATCATGCCTAGAAACTGTTTTCAGGAAGAGTTAAAGATCATTTACATGTAACCTATATTAAGAACCATTTTCTGATAATTGGAACAAAGCACTGTTAACATAACTGAGTAGGTCACCAAATATAGTTCAATCAACAATTATTTTTCCTGCCATAAGGAGTTATTTTTGCATCTGTGATGCCAAAAAAGAAATCCAATTTGCATGGTCTACAATAGATCATTATATGTCTTAGACTTCTAGTTTTGTAGAAGGTTAATTGAAGTATATAGTCCAGAACTCTATTGCTTTGAATCTGTCATTCTTGACTAGGAATTGTTTTTCTTGGTGCCAGTCTTAACAGGGAATGAAATTATATTATGTGTTACTTCATGTGTCATGTTACTTTCAGTAAAAACCACATAGAATGTGATGTCATTTTCCTATAAAATTTATGCAATTAAAAATACATCTATACCTATAATTTTGACAGGGACACAAAAGTTCATGAAAAAAAAAGAAAAGAAAAACTCACATCCTAAAAAAACAAATGAAATTTCCCTCTATAAAAAATTCAAAATACTGGTTCCACTGACTGAAATATTTTTGAAAAATGCATAATACATGTACTACAATATAAATTTCAGCAGGGTTGAGATACACAATCCCATTTTTTGTTCTTTTTTCTTTATCTCTCTCTCTCTTTTTTTTTTTGGGGGGGGGATGGGGGGAGTATTAATGTCTTAAAATGTAGGCTCAACATTTTAGAAAGAATGGTTACTTAATTGAATTCAGAGTTGGTTTTTTTTTTTTTTAAAAAAAAAAAAAAAAGAGGATAATATACTTTGTGCATTATACAAAACAAAACAGATCCAAACTTCATGAAAAAGTTCCAACTGAAGCGTCAGTGGAAAAGAGCGTCTATCATGGTGACTGAAAGGAGAATATCCATATTCGGGAGAGGACCGGGTCGGTTCAGGTTACAGGGTTCAGAGTTCAAAGTTCATTTTCAAATTTCAGGTGTTCATAGTTTTTTTGAAAGTTTACCAAAATTTTAAATTACTTTGGATGAATTTTATTTTACAAGGCTTTGTTCAGCAAGATTTGCTTTCATAATTTCCAATTCTGAGTTATCTTGCATCTTCAAAAGAATTTTTTTTTACTCTATATATCTTTGAATTTTTAATTTCAATTAAGTTGATCAACATTTCAGCATAAATGATAAAGTATTCACTTCCTTAAAAAAGTTCATTAAATTTTTATGTGTCTTTTGTTATACATGTAATTTGTTTGACATCTGAAATATGTATTATGTTAAACTCATGATTTTTATGCCCCCCCCCCCCCCCCAGTCAAAGATTCAGAGGCATATAGTGTTTAGTCTGTCCATCACACGTGTATTCCTTGTGACAAGACCTTTCTTTGGGTATCAACATTTTTGATCTCTTAACATTGGAGTTTGACCTTCTTTTGCAAAATTTTACCAAACTTAAAACTTAACCATAACTTTTGAACTGTTAGTGCTTGGGTTTCTATATTTCAGATGTATATTCCATGTGACCAGACCTTTCTTTCGGCTCCAAGTGTTTTTACCTTTTGGCCTTGAAGTTTTGATCTACATTTGAAAAAAGAACTTTAATCTTGGCTCTATCTTTTGAATGGTTGGAGCTAGGGCTTTCATATATCACATATGTATTCCTTGTGAAAAGATCTTCCTTTGAAAACCAACAGTTTTGAATTCCTGACCTTGACCTTAAAGTTTGACCTACATTTGAAAAATAACTTTAACCTTGCCTATACTTTTTGACATTTGGTGCTAGGGCTTTCATATTTTACCTATGTATTCCTTGTGACAAGACCTTTCCTTTGGTACCAATTTTTTGGACCTCATCACCTTGACCTTGAAGTATGGCCTCCTTTTGAAAAACTTTAACCTTTGCCATATTATCTGAATGGTTGGTGCAAAGGCTTTTATATTTCACATATGTATTCCTTGTGAAAAGACATGTTATTGGGTACCACCATTTTTGAACTCTTGACCTTGACATTGGAGTTTGACCTACATTTGAAAAAAAATAATCTTGGCCTTCAGCTGCCATTTGGGGGCATCACATCTTTTTTTTTTTTTTTTTTTTTTTTTTTTTTTTTTGCATATCTAAGATATATATATTTATATTGGATTTTTTTTTTTGGGGGGGGGGGGATTTGCTTTTTTTTCTTAGCATTTCCTCCTAATTACATAAGCTGTATCAACACAGAATTTGATCCTCAAAATTACAAGGGTATTTCAGAACAGTACATTTACACTTCATTATTCTAAGAAAATTCCAAATTCAACCTCTTTCCCTTTTTGTATAATAGTTTTTGTTATAAGTTTTTGAATTTCGAAGCAATTTGAATTCTACTTTTTGCATTTTAATTGTCATATTTTAGTCTTAGAATGTGCACCTTTCATAAGTGCGTAGTCAGTTCATATTAAGTAGGTTAATATGTAAAATGATAAGATACTATTTATGGTCATTTATTTAACCAAAAAAGATCTTTTTTAACAAGTAAAAATTAAACCAATTAAATAAAATGATTATATTGAAATGTCAGTGATATGTTACTTAAAAGAACACATATTTGTTATCGTCAAAGTATCCTATTGATCTTTAAAATATGAACATTTCCTATGTGCATTTATGAAAAGGAAATTATTCTAGGAAATGTAATGTCACAGTAATTGTTACTTAAAACTTTCCAAATAGTTTTTAAATGGCTGATTTGGTTGTAAATTTTGATAATTACATGTGATAATTGAATTATTAAGTATTTAATTTCCTTTTTATTTACAGCAAATATTTTTAAATGACATTTTATCCAAAAAAAAAAATAGGACTCTTAAAAATGTTCTATACAGATGTTACAACCATGGAAAAAAGATAAAGACTTTCATACTTCATATCAGAATCCTAGTTACCTCTAAATCAATATTAATTTAATATATTTTTATCATAGTTGCCAGTTCTGAATAAGGCCATTATGATTCTAACTTCGTAGTAAACTTTCAAATATATATATTTTTTACTACCAACTTCTTATTTGCTGCTTTTTAATATCTTCAAATCATTTATTCAATACAATAGCCACAGGTCTTTCTTATTTGCCTTGAACTTTTCCGATGATAATTTCTGCTAATTTCTGCAAGATTTATAATGCTAGTTGATTGTGGACTTGAAATCATTATAATTTTCTTTCCTTTTTTAATTATGTAAAATACATTGTGAACTGTAAAAATTATGTATTAATTTGACATTTAAATTGATAATCAAGAGACACAAGTTTGTCTCCTGGTTAATTGAATGATCTTTTTTTACTCTTTCATTTAAATTTGGACACTGATATTAGGAATTTCCATTAGAAATGCCAAAGTATATATATTAACCAATAAAAATGTTATCTTGACGTATTTCGCAAGCATTCTTGAAAGTTTTAAGTCGTGTAACTATTAATTTTATGTAAAAAAAAATAATTGAAATGTTGCTGATTAATGATTGAACATATAAATGATTTGGGCTTTAACAGATAAATCTTTATTGGCAAGAAATTTTGTTTAACTGAAATATGATTCCAAGTGTACTACTGTGGGAGTGGGGTATACTAAGCATGTCATTTTAGCAATGAAAAAAAAAGATTTAGTAAGGTTTTTTATAGAAAAGACCTTAATTGGAATCTTACTTAATATTTAAAGATTTAAGCATATTTCACATATGATATTTTTCATCTCTGCTATTTTTCAACCTATTTGGAGTACAAATGATTTCAGAAGTAAATCTTTCCATTGAATTTATAGGTGATACCCGCAGTAAATCCAAGGCAGAGAACAAAGGGGCAAAGGCACCACCAGAAAAGAAGCCGCCACCACCAAAAGATGCCAAAGCAGCCAAAGGCAAGGAGGTGGGTTTGAGTTTGGGAATTCCATGCCAATGCATGGTTGTACTAGGGAATACAGTGAGATGTTGCAGGGTGACTCAGGGGTACTAATGATAGAACTGCATGCTGCAGGGTAGCCATGGTGTGGTGATCAAAGACTGGAAATTCTATGACATAGTATGGTTGACGTAAGGAATAGTGTGACAACTCAGGCAGTATATTCATAATAGAACCTTGTGCTGCAGGGCAATACTGTCATGATCCAGACAAAACTGTTTCTTACAGGGCAATACTTTGGTGATCAAAGTTTTATTAGAGGGGCAGTACTTTTGTAGTTTAGTGCAATAACTTGGTAATGCAGGGCAATAATGTGGTTGTCCTTGGATATAACTGTGTGGTAGTCTATATAGTTGCAATAACAGGGGGCTTAGGGTAATATTGTGGTACCCATTGATGCTACAGGGTTTAACTCAAGTATTATAATTCCAGATGTTTCCAAAAGTTTTGAATTTTTAAAATTCTTAAGTTTGAATACTTTATAATTCTTTAAAAAAAATTAAAAAAATATTTTTTTTAAAAATTTCACTAGTGAAGAAGAGGCAATATTTAATACAAATCATAAGGCCATCCTCAGTTTTTTCTCTGTTTAGCATTCACCCATCTTTCAGAAACCTCCCTACCCATTCAAAAAAAAACACACACAAGCCAAAAAATAAATTGCAGACTCTACGAGGGTTGATCCAAAAGTTTGTGGAATTTCTTTCTAAAATTTTATCGTGATGAGATTAAAGCAAACAATAGACATATTTATAAAATAGAGCCATTATGCAACAATGCTGGAAAATCTCACCAAGTTTCAATTACCATTAAGGTCACAGGAGCCTTCTTAACATGGACAGTTGTAAAATCCAGGGGAGACTTCAACGTAACGTCATTAGATATGTCACATCATGTTGTAGGAGCATCTCAACCTTACATTCAAATCGACTTAAAATTTCTACAGAATGCTGCTTTCTTTTCTCCATTTCTGCTCTTGAGAAATGCCTGGGTACCCATCTCACACCCACGATCTTTTTATTACCATCATTTTTTTAAAATACGCTCCATCATTCCATATGATGTTCCTATTTCAGTAGCAATGTCAACCACAGTACATCGGTGGTCCACGTCCATTACTGCTCTCAATTTGTCTACGAGGAAAAAACGACCTTGCAATAGGCGACCACATCTTTCATCATCCTCCACTGAAGTTCTGTTTTCCTTAAATTTCTCACGCCACTGGAAAGCCAGTGGCTTACTGCACTTTTGTCCTGCCTGTATCAGTAGTATATGCGTTTAAGTAGGAGTGTTCCCGAGATTTTCAAAAAAAACTTATTACTTGACCAAATTTCGACGTTGTCTAATGATATCATGATGAACAACAAATCATCAATAGAAAAACTAAATATCCAGTAAAATCGATAAAACTTTCACACAAAGGTTTATAAGAGGTTAAGCAATTGTAATAATGACATCATTTTCGTTTCATATGCTACTTAACGTGTTTTTTTCCTCACAGTGAGTATTAAGTATTGAAATGACAATGAATGAATAAATGTCTCCCCTGCATTTTCAAACATCTGTTTCTATGGCAACTCACGAAGTGTTACTATCATGAATATTTAAAATATTTTTTTATTAAAAAATTCAACAAGTGTATATACATATCTCCATAGATCGGTAATTTTCAATCACTTCCACCAATAATAAATAATATATCAAGAAATTCCACAAACTTTTGAATCAACCCTCGTATAGCCCTAAAAATGACATCATTCAAAGGATTTTATTAATCTATTTTTATCATAGAAAGATCTATTCTATTGCAAAATCAAGGTATTAAATGCTTAAAATATACTTAATATGACATACTGTTGACAGATATTTAAAGAAATTGACAGAATTAAAAGATTTCGACCAGAATAATCAATTTCAGGATTCCTGATTTTGTTTGGTTTTTTTTTTCAGAAATTGGGTGTCAAAATCCAAGGTGCACGCGCATGCTAAAAATAGAAAAAATTTGGAATGGCCTAACATAAACATCACATATATATTTTCAATACTACTGCTTAATAATGATGCACCACATTTGCTAATTTAAAAATTGTCTGATGAAAAAAAAGACATTTTTTTTCATTATTTTTTTTTCATTTACTAGTACTGAACAGATCTCTGTGAAAATTATTGGAGGGCACCTGAACTTTAACCCACCTACAATGAATTTATGAAGTTTGAACTTTGACCCCATTCATCAGTTGTATTTCTATTTCCTTATAAAAGATAATGCAATGAGAATCTAATTAAGACTTTGCTAAAAACACAGGCATTTCTATAACTTTCCTTTTCAGTTTAATTAGTAATTAGCCCTTTCAATTGAATTTAAACAGTGATCTAGTATCACTTTAAAATTGACTTTTCCCCCCTAAATTTATTAATAAATTTCCCATGTAAATATATTGGATCCCTTAAGGTCAGACGATACGTTCCTCAAATATCTGTTTTGTATACCTTTGAATTATGTGGAAAATATTCAAAATTTTAATTACCTTCTGGTTTCTGAACTGGTTTCTAATTGTCTTTGAAAAAATAAAACACCAAAAAAATGTGTTATTGGCTAATTAAGTTTTTCCAAAAGGATTTTATAGGAAAAACATCCTCTGGTATCTTGCACAAATGCCTGGTAAGGCTCAATCTTTTGTGAGTAAACATGTTAAAGTAGCAATACTTCAATGACAAAATCTTAGAAAAAATTATTTATTATTGAGGAACGTATCGTCTGTCCTTAATTAAAATTTTCTTAGTGCATTACTTTTGTTCCAATTGGATCATTCATAATAAGAAACTATACAAGATATATGCCTTCCAATTTCTAAGATTTTTAGCTCACCTGAGCCGAAGGCTCAAGTGAGCTTTTCTGATCGAAATTTGTCCGTTGTCTGGCGTTGTTGTTGTTGTCGTTGTCGTAAACTTTTCACATTTTCATCTTCTTCTCCAGAACTACTGGGCCAATTTCAACCGAACCTAGCACAGAGTATCCATGGGGTAAGGGGATTCAAGTTTGTTCAAATGAAGGGCCACGCCCTCTTTCAAGGGGAGATAATAAAGAATTAGTGAAAAATTAATAGCATCTTTTAAAAATCTTCTTCTCAAGAACCACAGGGCCAGGAAAGATGAAACTCATGTGGAAGCATCCTCAGGTAGTGTAGATTCAATTTTGTTCAAATCATGACCCCCGGGGGTAGGGCGGGGCCACAATGGAGGATCAAAGTTTTACATAGAAATATATAGGAAAAACCTTTAAAAATCTTCTTCTCAAGAAAAGCAAAGCCATGATGAGTCATATTTATATGGAAGCATCCTCAGGTAGTGTAGATTCAAGTTTGTTCAAATCATGACCCCGGGGGGTAGGGTGGGCCCACAATGGAGGATCAAAGTTTTACATAGAAATATATAGGAAAAACCTTTGAAAATCTTCTTCTCAAGAAAAGCAAAGCCATGATGAGTCATATTTATATTGAAGCATCCTCAGGTAGTGTAGATTCAAGTTTGTTCAAATCATGACCCCTGGGTGTAGGGTGGGGCCACAATGGACTATCAAAGTTTTACATTGAAATATATAGGAAAAATCTTTAAAAATCTTCTTCTGAGGAACAGCAAAGCCCTGATTGGTCATACTTATATGGAAGCATCCTCAGGTAGTGTAGATTTAAATTTATTCAAATCAGGACCCCCGGGGGTAGGGTGGGGCCACTATGGAGGATCAAAGTTTTACATAGAAATATATAGGAAAATATATACTTTTGAAGAACTGCAATAAATAGAAATATATAGGAAAATATCTACTTCTGAAGAACTGCAAAGCCATTATTAGTCATTTTGATATGGAAGCATCCTCAGGTAGTGTAGATTCAAGTTGGTTAAAATGATGACCCCCGGGGATAGGGTCGGACCACAATGGGGGAGCGAAAATTTTACATAGGAACATATAGGAAAATTTCTTCTTCTCAAGAACTGAAAATTGTGTTTAGTCATTTTGATATGATAATATCCTCAGGTAGTGTAAATTCAATTTTGTTCAAATAATGACCCCCAGGGGTAGGGTGGGGCCCAGTGAGGGGTAGAAAGTTTTACATAAGAACATATAGAAAAAATACGTCTTCTCAAGAACAGAAAAGCTATGTTTAGTCATATTGATATGGAAGCATCCTCAGGTAGGGTAGATTCAAGTTCATGACCCCTGGGGTAGGGAGGAGCCACAATGGGGGATCAAATTTTTTACAAAATTATTTATGGGAAAATTTTTTAAAAATCTTCTCAAGTACAACAAAGCCATTTGTTATATTGACATAAGCATCATTAGGTAGTTTAAAATTCAAGCTCTCCCCAGGGGTCATATTGATATGGAAGCATCTCAGGTAGTGTAGATTCAAGTTTGTTCAAATCATGACCCCTGGGGGTAGGGCGGGGCCACAATGGAGGATCAAAGTTTAACATAGAAATATATAGGAAAAACCTTTAAAAATCTTCTTCTAAAGAAAAGCAAAGCCATGATGAGTCATATTTATATGGAAGCATCCTCAGGTAGTGTAGATTCAAGTTTGTTCAAATCATGACCCCGGGGGGTAGGGTGGGCCCACAATGGAGGATCAAAGTTTTACATAGAAATATATAGGAAAAACCTTTGAAAATCTTCTTCTCAAGAAAAGCAAAGCCATGATGAGTCATATTTATATTGAAGCGAGGAACTGATTTGTGCTCTTGCCTAGCCAATGTGCTCAGGTGAGCAATATGGCCCATGGGCCTCTTGTTTGTCTTGAAATTCCCAAATGAAAGGGCCCTGTAACAGAAGTTATAGAATTGGCCGGCCTGTCCAAAAAAGGACTAATAAATATAATAAATATCATCTACTCGTATTCATAGAGGACTTTCACATTTACAAAGTTAATATTTTCCTTTGCATAATCGGGGATCAACCAGCATGAAGCAAAAGGTGAAATTTTGTCTATCGCCCTCTAGTACATCTGATCTTTCTCAAAATTTTATAGGTAGATGAATATTGATTTCATTTGTTTAAACTATATGACATACATTGAAACCATTAAAATATTGGTCATTCTCATAAAGACAGCCTTTTTTACACATAAATCATTCTACTACTTGTACATGCATGTACATATAGTTACAAGTTAGGTCCCTCATATTCAGTAATTTATTCTAGAATATTTTTTTTTTAAACCAGGAAATTCATCGATAAAGCTTCAATTTTTATCAAAAGTTGAAGTTGGTTTTAGTGAATTAAAGAAATGATATATGGAAATTGATGCATTTGAGTAGAAATACTTTTTACAGTTTTTTTCTTTTTTTTATTTTTTTTAGTTTAAGATGCCATTTTTAAAAATAAATTTAATTATAATTTTTGTTAAAATTCATCATCATTTCAGGCCCCAAATGCGAAGCGCAGAGAGGTAAAAAAATTTCCTTCCCTACTAATTCAAAGACAAACTATCATTGAAATAAATTAAATTTTTGTTTCAATTCATCTCTGGAAAGCTAAAATCACTCTGAATTTTTTTTTTCCTCAAAAAATTTCACAGATTGCAGAAAATAATCTTAATCATGTGTAATTTGTGTATATATCCATTGTTAACTTGACAAATTTCCAGAGTTTAAAGTCAAGGGAGAGTTTAAAATCAAATGCAAAAGAGGTAATCACTTTCTTCAATGGGTTTTTTTTTCACTTTGGTTTGAGAAAGTCACCATCTTCCCAAAAAAATCAAATAAACCCATGCCACATTTTAATAACCCTTTAATTCTCCATTTTAATATCTTATTAAATAAAAAACCCTGCAATCATTAATATGTAAATAAATTTAAAACAGTCTTAAGTGGTGTGTCATTATCCCCACTCATAATTCCCTATACCTCTGTGGTGCTGTCTACAAAACATGTCCAAAAATAGAAATATTGCATTGTATTAAAAATCGCATTAATTTACACAAATACATATATAAAACTTTTTAGATCACCCAAGCCAAATTAGGCTCATGTGAAGATTTTCTTATCAAATTGGGTCCATTGTCTGTTGGTGTTGTCGTCATTGTTGTTGTAACAACATTAAGTAATCTTTTCTCATTTTCATTTTCTTCTTCTAGCTGAACCAATGGGCCATTTTCAGCTAGTATCCTCAGGTTTTGTTCAAAAGAAGGGTTACACCCCTTTCCAAAGGGAACTAGATAATCAAGAAAAGGCAAATGTAGAGTGGAGGTAACTGAAAATCTTCTTCTCAAGAACCACTGGGCCAGTACAGATGAAACCTACGTGAAAGTTACCTGATATTGTTGATTTTTAAGTTTCTTCAAATTATGACCGGGGGGGGGGGGGGGGGGGGATGTGAAATCTTCTTCTCAAGAACAGCAGGGTCATGATTAGTCATATTATTATGCAAACATCCTCAGGTAGTAAAGATTGAACTTAAAATTCATGCCCACCCCCACCCCACCTCACCTCACCTCACCCCACTCCCAACCCCCGGATGGGGTGGGGCTACAATAGGAGATCAAAGATTTACATGGGAATCTATCGGAAAATATTTTCCATGACAGGGCAATGACCAGAGATATTAATATGCAAGCATTCTCAGTTAGTATAGATTAAAGTTATTTCGAAATATGACACCCCTTAGGGTGGTAAATCTTAGGGGAGGGGGGGGGGGGTGTCATAGGGGGAAATCTTTCAAAAATAACAAGGTTATTATTAGTGATATTAATATGCAAGCATCCTCAAGTTGTTTAAATTCAAGATTCTTTAAATCATGGCTCCAGGGAGTAGGATGGGATCAAAGTTTTACGAGAATAAATAGGAAATAATTGTTTCCAAATTTTCTTCTCAAAAGCAGCCTGGTAATCATAAGTGACACATATTAAGAGCCATTCTCTGTAATGACTTGAACTTTTATATAGGAGCTGTGGCACGCATAGTCTCAGAATTTCTCCAAACTCTCTATGATAAAAGTCTTTGCTACTGTAAACTCAAATCAGGCAGAAAATAGTTGCTACGTGACATGGTTACCATGGCAACATGTCCTAAAGTTTGAAAAATGGCATTTTTCAACATGTTCAGAGTCCCACAGTTAATGTTTGCAGCAAAGCAAACAAGTGGCAATGATTGTTTCTGAAAGTTGAAGGCCTGATGTCTTAAATGCGTGATAAACATGTTTGGTAAATCAACTATTACATTCGTTACTATGGAAACAAAGTATTCAAAAGTAATAATTTTGCCCATTTAATTTTATAAAATCATACACTTAAGAATAAAAAAAATTATAGGTTGAAATGCAAGCAAATAATAGACAAAAGATTCTTGCAACATATACCAAGGAAGAAATATGATATTTCTTATAGGATGGCAATGGTTGCCATGGTTTTAATACCAAGAAGGGATTTTAAATTTACTCTCTTACTATTTAAATCTTATCCTATCTTTTTAAAAAGCATATTTTTGTATAACTAATGATCAATTTTTAAAGACGTTCATGTGACCCTAATTTTCGCATTTCAAAAAATTCAAATTCAATTCTTTAAATAGTGCGTTGCTATGGAAATAAGCCGAAAAAATATGCATAAAAATCTTTAAAATATTCTGTTTCCTTGGATACGTACCCTTGTATGTAGATTCCCAAAACTTTTATGATTGATAATTATGAACAACTAACCTGACTTTCAATTTTGACTGCCACCCAATCTCTAACCGGATGCAAAAAGCTGGCACATAGGGTTTAATATTGATATAAAATTAACAAAATTGAACATTTTCCCTTCTTGGTTACCATAGCAACAGTGTTGTATTTTCCAAAAACGTTTTCAATATATGATATTCAACTTTAGTTCTTCCAGATAGGTACTATTCAAGGTGAGTCAAATAATATGTTTCTTGAATAAAAAGTAAGTAATTTCCTATGGCAGCAAAAAAATATCACTTTAAACAACTGGTACATTGTTTCCATGGTTACACTGCAAAGTAACAATTAATCCCAATTTTTCTTATGTTGTCGGTGTTGCAAGGTCCTAAGGATGTATATGTGCCAATCATGAGTTTTATTGTTTTTCCTGAAGATAGTAGCATTAACCCAATCTTAGCAACATGTTTTGCATGGTTACACTGTGTTACCATGGCAACCATGAAAGTTATTTTTAGAATAATATTGCCAATACCTAATTACTTATGGTCAAATATTTTTATTGTTTTTCTTATGTTGTTGATTGACTTTGATCATTTAACACCTATCATTAGTGAATATTGAGCATTTTTCTGCATTTTTCAGCATCTAAAATGTATTCCAAATGTACCCTTGGTTACCACTTACTTAGACATAAATTCTAAATAGTTTCTTTATAGCATAAGTGGCAACAAGGTGTCAGGTTTTTGTGACAATGGTTTGTTTGTTTTTCTTAGTCTTTATTAAGGCTTAATAAAGATTCAAAGTAGCAGAAAATCTCAATTTTTCCAACTTTTCTGGCTGTTACCATGGCAACCAAGACCCATAGCAACGAAATTTTATTTGATATATGTTTCTAGTGTCAAGTTGTAATAATGAGCAAAGTTTCATCAAAATCTGTAACCATGTGTGGCAAAGAAGTTTAAGTGGTTACAGAGAATCGCTATTAATATGCAAGCATCCGTAGGTAATGATGATTCAAATTTGTTCCAGTCATGGCCCCTGGGGGTAGGGTGGGGTCACTGTTCTGAAGAACAGCAAGGCCAAGGGGACTCTTGTGAGCATCGTGGCCCATGGACCTCTTGTTATTTTAATATTTTAAATTTCTATTTTTTGTTTAAATACTGAACTTTTCAAAAATAAAATTAATGACTTTGATGATATTTTTATTTATGGGTGAAAAAATGACTACATTACAGGAATACATTACAATGGTAATTAATCTTTATCTGTTGATAACTGGTTTAGATTCATTTCACTGTACATTTTTCATAACATGTCAAAATGATTACAATGTTGTTGTTTTTTTTGGTAGCTGGTTTAAAGATTCATAGTAGCAATGTCTTGTTATTCTGTAATTTTATCAATTTTGCTGGTACTCATTTATTGAATTGTCATAGTTGATGATGTAAGTATGAATTTGAAGTCTGATTTATTCAAATAAACACATAATAGATCTCAGGAATTTCTGAATAGTGTTTCATATTTCTTCATGAATAAAATATTCCATGTTATGTAGAATGCATTGTCTCCCTTTATAGGCAAAACCAGACCCTAAGGCCAAGTCCACACCCTCAGCCAAAAAGCCTGCAGGTAGTCGAGGTCCCTCAGTGACCCCTGGGCCTCCTGCCAGCACTGTTCCCCCAGAGAGGGAGAGGACACACAGCCCCCTCAGCCCAGTACCATCAGGGGGAGAGGACTCACCCCAGGAAAAGGCATACAAACAGAAACTCACAGCTCAGGTAGGTTATCTAAGCGTGTCCAGTTGATTTGTTGACTGTTAAGTGGATCCATTTTACAGTGTACTTGGGATGGAGGAATTGTAGCAAAAGAAGAAAGAGCTTTTACATTTAACATTTGAATTGTAAAAGAAGATATATGAATATGGTAAATCGTATGAAGGAATTTGGCATAAAGGAGGACCGTTCGTAAATATGACATTATTCATTTGTTACATTTCTAAGGTTTAAATAAAGAAAGCCTGAAAATGACTCATTTCTGGGGTTTATTTTCCTTAAGAACATGGTGTCACCTACTTCAACTTTTGGATATGTTGTAAAAAAACATTTGACAAATCTTATTTCTTAATATCTTTGTGGGCGATGCAATTTGTATATATTGTATGAAAGGAAATTCCGCTGAAAACTGATGTCTTTTGCAACTTTATAAGAAAATACGGGAAAATGCACAAATTGATGATGTCACAATTGGCATTTAGGAGGTCATATGAAAAAGCTATTTGTATGATCTTACTGCATGAAGTTTTAACAATTCAGAGAGCATGAGTTTTTATTTCTCACAATAATTTCATTGTTCAAAAAAATACTGGGCTAGATTTTTATTGAATTGTATCTTCTTTAAGAAATAGAATTATAATATCATAAAATTACAGAATGGTAATTACCAAAATAAAAGCAAAAAGTAGTCAAAGTAGATAACAACAGCACCTGATTGTAAGGAAGCCTGGTTATTTTGAAATAATGTAGAATAAGCCCCTACCTGCACCCCCTCTCCCCAACCAAAGATGCAAGATAATGGGAATTTAGGGGGAGAAATAATGCTTTTTACCACTGAGAAAAAAAAAGCTACTTTATGAAATGACATTTCTTCATTTTTGTTTTTAGGCATATCTGATTATGGACGAAACTTTTCGAAGAGTTGGCGAAGTATTTGATAACATTTCTGCCACAGAGGATGCCAAACCTCTTATGTTATGACATAGAGGGAAGTGAATAAAGATCAGGACTCTTAATATCAACTTCTGTGATCTAATGACATTTACTTTTTTTAAACATTTGGTTTTTCTAAAAATATATTTTTTTTTAAATTGTCTTGTACTGAATACAGTGTGTGACGTAAAACTCTGGACTAGAAATATGACATTATACTGCTGAAAAAAATATTCACATTGTCACTTTGATATGTATTAAAAAAAAAAAGAAGATTCCGTCCATTTTTTTGTATTTATTTGTAATATATGAAAACTATAAATTTATTCTCTTTCTAATGTTTTTGTATTTATATTGCTTTGGAGAAAGCACGAACTTCTGAATATATCCCAAGATGCACCATCTTTGCCTATAGTTCTTTAATATTGAACTTGAGTAATTTCAGCCCGATCATTGATCCAGTATACATGGAAAAAATATACAACATGCCCCCCAGAGGTCACAGATAACAAGTTAATTCAGAGAATTTATATGTCCCTCACTTAAGAACAAAATAATTTGTCGGGGGCCTAAAAGAAAATGAAGATGGAGAAAGAAAAGAAAGAATAAGTTTCATTGCAAAAGCTTAAAAAGAACTTATAACAAGATGTGTATGTTAGACACTGGTGCCCCCATATATCAGCTTATGACAAAGGTAAAGTTTCTCAAATGTAAGTCAAATGTAGGTCAAGAGATCAAAAATGTTGGTACCCATTCTTGTCTCGAAGAATATAACTTTGAAATATGAAAGCCCTAGCACCAACTGTTCAAACTTACAGCCACAGTTAAAGCTTTTGAAAAGTAAGTCAAGGTTTAATGAACAAAATTAATGCTGCCCAAAGGAACTTCTTGTCACAAGAAAAAAGTTATAAAAAAGTGAAAAGTTATGGTCAAGGTTAAAATTTTCAAAAGTAGGTCAAACTCCAAGGTCAAGGACAAAAGGTCAAAACTGGGGACACAAGAGAAGGTCTTGTTACAAGAAATGATAAATATGAAAGCCCTAGCACCAATTGTTCAAATGTTATGGTTAAAGTTAAAGTTTTCCAAAAGTAGGTCAAACTCTAAGGTCAAGGTCAAAGGGTCAAAATTGTTGGTATCAAATGGAAGGTCTTGCCACAAGAAATACACATGTAAAATATGAAAGCCCTAGCTCCAAGTGTTCAAAAGTTATGGTCAAGGTTAGAGTTTGGTAAAATTTTGCAAAAGTTGGTCAAATTCGTCAAAGTCAAGAGGTCAAATATGTTGGTACCCAAAGAAAGGTCTTGTCACAAGAAATACACATGTGAAATATGAAAGCCATAGCTTGAACCAACCAAAAATTAAGGGCAAGGTTAAAGTTTTTGCAGACAGGCAGACGAACAGGGCAAAAACTATATACCCCTGAACCTTTTTTTTTATCTGTGATGTTTCATAATGTAAAACCATAGTGAACAAAGGCTTCAGGTTCGCCCATCATGTTAAAAAATTTAGTTATTTTGAACTCTTGGTAACGCTTCGTACATTTGATAAGAACCTTGGGTATAAAATGTAAACCCCTTGGTCTCATAAGAACTTGAAAACGGAGCCAGCAGGGGGATTGGAAACCTAGCTCCCAGAATTTTCAATGTTATCAAATCATTACACACAAGTAGCCTGTTGTCTTTCCATAGATTACAAAATTACAAATTTTATTTAAAAATAAATTCTGTTGTTATGACTACCTTACAACAAAGTAAAATTATTTTTTAATAAAATTTGTGGAAAAACACTGTTTCCTTCTTTTTTTCTTTCTTTTTTCTTTCTTTCATTTTTTTTCATTTGTTTTGTTGTTTTTTTTTTTTTAAAAAGCCATCCCAATCCCTTCTGGAAAACTTTCTTCTCTGTATTGTTTAACCCCCCCCCCCCCCCCCCCGGAAACATTCCACAATTCCCAACCCCTCTCTTGTGAAGGAGGGCTTGTCAATGAATATATACCCCCACCCCTGCTCTTGTCATGTCTCTTTGCCATAAAGTAGAACCATTTTTGCATGAGCTGAAATGTTGAACATGCATTTAAACATGTAAATATTTGAAGGACAGCTGCGTAAACAATCTGCATATCGCTGCTGGTCTCTCCTGGGGGTCACCCTGTAGGGGGGTGTATATATGTAATGATCCAGTAAACCAGGCCCTTATTCTGACGCAGAAATCATTTCCATTCCAATTCAACATGAAATCCAAACCTTTAAATCTTGTGTCAATAACAAGCATAGCAGAGTTCTGCAATCTTCTTGCCCTTGGAATGTTAAATATTTTCTGGGGAAGTTTATATATAAAATCATATTGACTAAACACTAAAAGTTAATTTCTGCTTTGGATACCCGATTCCATTTTCATTGTTAATTAAGTTCAGCAATTGAGTACCTATAGAGGAGTATAGGTTTCCTCCTAGTCTGTTTGTCTGTCATCTCATTAACAATTATTTACAGAGCAAATCTACTTAATATATAACCTTTACATTATAATTTAAAAAAAAAAAAAGGCTGCATGTGCTAGAATAGTTGAAATTAAATTATATAAGACGACATGTTTTTTGATTTTTGTTTTTGTTTGTTTGTTTTTGTTTTTTGTTTTTTGTTTGTTTTTTTTTTTTTTGGTTATTTGTTTTGTTTTTGTTTTTGGTTTGTTTGTTGTTTGTTTTTTTTTTGGTTGCAAAAATGAGTCAAGCTGCATTGAGAAATTGGTAATGAAGCAGTGTTAAAGCATACCGATTGGCTAGCCTGGTTCCAGAGGCGTTCCGAGGTGCAAGGTACCAAGCTAAACTGATGGCCCCTTCATTCTCTAATGGTGGAATACAAGAGGCGTAAAAGTTAGTGCAAATTCAAGTTTGTTCAATTCATGACCCCGGGGTAGGTAGGGACAATAATCAAAGTTTGACATAGATATATATACTGGTGGGAAAAAAAATCTGCTGATGAAGAACAGCTAGGCCATAGTGACTTGGGTGAGAGCTGTGACTGTGACCCTTGGGTCTCTTTTTTCTTTTTTTTCTTTTTTTTATTTGCTTGTCACGAAATTTCCTCTATACTGAAATTACTTCCTATGGTCCTTTTATGTATTGTTGATTTTTTTAAAATTCGAGAGGACACCCCTACCCCCGATTTTTATTTTTATATTGATAACACAGAGTAGTTCTTTTTCACACCATTGAAAAAGTTTTCTCGCCCAAAAAGAGTTATATGGGGTCGTGAGTTTAGAACGAGCTTCTCTCCCCCCTCCCTCCTCTTTTATTTTAATATGACATTCAACGGACAGGATGGGTCATTGCATCACATTGTAAACTTAATTACCTTAGATAAAATAAATAAAAAGTAAATTACCTTAGAAGTAATTTTTAGGCATTCGTTTTGAATTCTTGGTTAACTATAATGTGTCGATGTTTACTTTTAAAAGTTTGATGCTGTTTTAAAATTCACACAAGTACAAGAACGATTAGTATATCGATATCGACGATATCCATATTGATTATCTTGAGGAAAGATTTAAAAAAAAAACAAAAAAACAAAGAAGCACACGAAGTAATACTATGATCTGTTGAACGACCATGATTCCATCAATACCTTGTTGAATGACATCAACGAAATCGCAATCGTAGCAAACTTAGTAAAACTTAGTAAAATGACAGTTATCAAAGTAGAGAACACAGCAGCAAGAGATAAATCGACCCACTGCATGCTAAACGATAATGATTCGATATCGATACAATATCGTGGATTATATCAACGATATCAACATTATATTGAAAGAAGCAAATGTGTGATAAGTGTTTAACAGCCAACATTTTTTGCAAACATGAATCTATATCGAAACGATATTAGTCGATATCGACGATTTCAACGCTAAAGAAATTAAATAAGGCGAATGTTTTAAAGCAACACACAAGTATAAAGAAACATAGTTACTGTAACAAGGACGAAAACAACGTAGGTCGTACGCAACGTCCAACTCTTTCTCTCTTGTGTGTATGTATATTGTATTACATGTATATGACTATATATAAATGTTAATTTACAATGTACTTTCTTTTTGCCCCATGAGGGCCCTTAATTGGTAATAACTAATTGAATTGAATTGAATTGAATTGTACATGTATACACTATAATGTACATTTCCCTAACGTAATTGTCCACGATATTCTTAATTTAAAATCATCGTACCATCATTTGTTCTTAAAAAAATCAACATATATTACCAGGAGTATTAAGCAAATATCAAATGTTGAAAGTCGAATTGTTATTTTTTTACAAGAAGAATTAACAAATATATTACTTTTAGCTGGTATTTCCTATGCATTTGATTCAGAGGAGGTGTACAGCATTCCCAGGCATCAATAAATCGCAAAAAGTCCCGATATGGTCTCTAGAGTAAGGATTTTGTAAGTAGAAAGTATTCAAACATACAAACAAGTACAAGAAAAACGATATCGTCGATATAGTAACTACATCGTGTCTTGGACATAACTCTTTTACTGTTTTAGGTCCCACTATAACTTAGTTTCATCAGTTTTCATCGTCGCATTCTCAAACCGTTTGAATCGTCTCATCACGACAGAAATACAGACAGACAAAGCAATATGACCCAAAAAGTTACAGGTGTCTTACTCTCATAATCGTTAAGTATCTCTGCGCAGAATATGAAAATGCTATATGATGCAAATGTATACGTAATTTAGCGGATCTAAATAAGCTTAAATTTTTCGATTTTCTATTTTATACAGCAGGCCCGTAGCGACGATTTAAAAAGAGGGTACCCCCCCCCCCCCAAAAAAAATGAAAAAAGGGAATCAAGTTTAGAATTTGTCGGTGCTCGACCTTACAGCAACGAACAGTGGGTGGAGGGGAATGAACGTTTACTATATAGCAAAATACTATACTCAGAAAAAATGGGGGGGGGGGGATTCTCCCCTGACCCTTGCGTTCTACGGACTTGTACAGAAGGAGTTTGCCATAAGACAATAAAACAAAATTAATTTTTTGTCTGTCCATCTGTCTGTCAGTACGTCAATACTTTTGTTATGATGCTATATATAACTCAGTTGTCATTGTAACATTTTCAGATTATATAGAAATACTTTAAAGACAGACACTTACAAATTTTTGGGTCGTGTCGCTTTGTCTTTATCTATGTATCTTAAATATTGGTATTTCCAACATATGTGCGTGTATTTTTCCGTGTCACCTTCCTTATATGTCCTGTATTTTATTCCTAACTTTTTTTTACTGTTGTATCAAATACAGTCCTCACTCTCCAATGACAATTAACCCTCAGCGGGACCCACTTTTAAAGAGAATATTTCCAAATGTCAAAAGGGGTATTCTTTTATCCCCCCCCCCAAAAAAAAATGATTAGAACAAAAATGCTATAGATCCACACTTAAAATTACGTAGGCGATCTCAACAGAACTACTGTATTTATTACACTGTTATAATAATATTGTCATTGATTTATTGCGTATTATTAATAACGAAATAATTGTTTCTGTCGACCGATAAGGATTTGTAATTTAGTGTTCACTGAAAAATAAACACCGAGGTAACGCCGCGACCTTATTCGGCACGCGAGGTTTGATAACAAGGGTGACAGCCTGGTCGGTGTGTGTCTGTCTGTTTACCCAGCTGTTCTAACGAGGGGAACGGACGGGGACTAAGATCTAGTCTTAGATGAGAGAGAGAGAGAGAGAGTCCTGCATTATTAAATTTTCGTCACCAGATAAATGGTCTTATTTTCTATCATTATATTATGTTAGTATAGTAATCGCCCTATTCTATTAGACGGTATACACACGTAACATATTATAGCATGGACATCGCGACGTCATGGCCGTAGGAACCGGGGGGGGGGCACGGGGGGCCCTCCCCCCATTAATTTTGCCGATATATAGATTACTATAGAAAACATATAGATACTATATGTTTGTGCACCCTCAATTAAAACGCCTGATGTCCCCCCTTTTTTTTGCTTCTCAAGAATTTTTGGTAGTTGATAGTGCCCCCTCAAACTGAAAATGTGTGGCTGTGCCCCCCCCCCCCAATTGAAATGGCTTCCTACGGGCCTGGACGTAACGCCACACTGTGATAGAGTCAGGGTTGGTCTACATTACACCATGTTAACATGGTTAATCATGGTAAATGTGGGTTAACTCGTATCACCTCAGATAACTTGGAACGGTGGAAGGGTTAAACTGAATCCTCTTTAAATTCTTTTTTTTTTTATATAGAAGTGCATGGCATATTTTCAAAATGATAATAATAATAATACAAATAAGGTGCCTCCATTCAATGAATTATGCAAGTAAACAAACGAAATGACAAGGCTTTTTAAGAAATAAAAAAGGCTAGAGTCCACAAGTTTACAAGACAAAAAAAGAGAAAAAAAATTTACTAGTAACAGTTATTTTCTTTTCAGAGAAATAAAATGAACAAATGTGCTAATTATTTAAGTGACAATACAATATTTAACAAATGCCATTTTTTTTTCAAAATGCATTTTTTAACATCGTAAAGAACAGAGAATTTCATTATGACGTCACAGTGGATCAAAAGCAAAGCACTAGATACCTACGTCACAATGGACATAACGTCATATTATAGTTATTTTTTTTTTTTAAGAATAGTATAAAATACGCGATTTTTTTTTTACCTCATCATGTAGAGATTGCATTCATTAATACATGTATATACCAAGGGTGTAAATTCCATATGTAGACAAATAGGTTGTAGCCTACACATCATTTTCTAAAGAAGTCGAAATCGTATATGGTTGAAAACGGGAAAAAAATGATCAGACATTTTGTCTCCAAATTATTTTGTCCAAGTCGAATGCGATAAAAATTCTTATCATTTCACATTTTACATATCAGGAGAAGAAGTAGAAATTGTTTGCAGGAAATATTTTGGGTTATTAAGAGAGCTTTAAAAATCGGATTATGCATTAAAACAGTTTTGCTTAAGCAAATTTTTCAACTTTGTATTTTCATAATACGGAAATACGGAAAATATGTTTATTTTATGGTATATTCAATGACAACCAAGGATGTATTCAAGTTGCAGAATTTTTTTCAGAAGATGAAGGCAAGCATCATATAATACTTTTTTTTTTGGTTTGTTTGTTTGTTTGTTTTTGTTTTGTTTTTTTGACTTACTTTAACAGGAATCATACGTACATTAATTTTTCAATTTAGTTGAAAATGAATATACATGACATATAACCACTTTCAACTTCAGATTAATTAATAAACGGCAATATTAAATATATATTAGCAAACCCGGAAATGATTTATTTTTCATCTATATTCTAAAATCGCTGGATTTTTTTTCTTGCGTTGGAAGCTATTTTAGTTTAGAGGCGCATAACCGTATATTTTCATTTGAAGGGGGGGGGGGCAAAAACCAAACATTTCAGTTGGGTGGGTACTCGCTACAGAGCAAAAATAATTCCCTAACAAGCATAAAAAGGGTCATCAGACGTTATTACGGAGGGGCACATGCATAAAGTAGCACATGCATAAAGTAGCAATGTAAATAATAATCTTATCTTATCAATCTGGAAGAATAATGATGCCGGTAAAAATATGCAAATAGAGTTTTAAAAAAAACTCCCACTTTTCACCAATAATGATTCTTTTGTAAGAAAGTATTAAATGTAAAATGTGAACAAATGCAAAATGTGATGAGCAAGAGCAATTAAGAAAATGTGTTAAGTGACAACTTAACTGATGTAACTTCCCGCTAAATGTCCCACTGCCTAAATATGAGATTTGTAGTAATGAAACCCGCGCCACCTCAATGTGTCTGCAAATTTCGCGGGGTGTGAACTGTCGTGTATAGTACCCAAACCGTCCCCCGCGGGGAGGATAATACAAGACGTAGAGGTGTCGCGGGAAATGTACACAGATAATAGCGTGATTTCGCCAAGATGTCAGTTACAGATGTGGAAATGTGTCATCTACATTTCCATAGCATGTCACGTAATACACAAATGTAAATTTAAAAATAGATGGCTATATTGCTATATTGTTCTGTTAAAATTTTGAATATATTGATTCCATAAATTAAATGCATAAAACTTTTTCTGCGTTATCTAGAATTGAAAGAAAAGTCCTTAATTATGCCATTGAAACAAAAAAAAAAAACAAAAAAAAAAAAAACAAACAAACAAACAAACAAAAAAAAAACAAAAAAAAAAACAAACAAACAAAAACAAGAACCCCACCCCAACAAATAAACAAAAAAATGCATCTTATGATCCATAACATTCTACAGGTGTAAAAACATGCACCCTTTTCCCTAATGGAGAATAACACTGATGAATGTTAATCTATAAAAGATGCTAAAGCATCCTAATTATAATCGGATAAACAGATCCAAATAAGCTATTCGTCTGATTACATACGGCCTAAAACGTTAAAATAAAATATGATTTTCAAAGGTTGTTTTTATGATCATGTATTTTTTTTTTTTTTTTTTACAAACACGTCAACTATCAAAAGTATCCTGTTTTTTACGAGTGCTAACATTATGGTATCCTTTAAATTAATAAATAAAGATGCAGGTACAAATTTAACGAAAAGGAGGTATTCTAAGTCTGCAAAAGTGGCAGGGCAAAAAAATCAAGTACATTTTTAAATATCTAGGCATAGTATCAATTGTCAGAAAAGAGGGAGAGAGAAAAAAAAACATGACCAAGTGCAATCATGATTAGATGAAAACATGAGCCGCATTACCCAGCATATTAAACAGAAAGCCATAAGAAAGAAGTCCCAAAGATCAACAATTCAAAATCAGTACTGATTTCCTGATATTTGGAAATCCATCTGTTCACATCTTTTAAATAATGAACATTGCTCAAATAGCTGAAAAAAGTAAATAATTAATGCGCATTTATTTAAGTTGCATTACTTTGTTGGGCGCGGAAGGATATCTGTGAAGGGCGAATCACATACGCTGCTCGCGACAAAGGGATAGCGAAACATGTCAAGCGAGGGCCTTTTGGGTAAATAAGGTATATTCCAAGTAGGCGAAAAAAGTTGATGTCCTAGCGAAAACAGAGGTCTGGAAATTTTCTGGATCTCCAGACAGTGAGTGGGAAATGTTAAATTCTACGGGATTAACCGAAAGTAGCGAGGCTTGGCAGCAGAGACGGGCAAGGTAAGCTTTCCAAAACGTGTTCGGGACCTCTCCAGTCGGTCGCCATTTTGGCTGCTCAAAGAGTTGATAGTGTTACCAGAGATAGGCCTAGATAAGGCAATGTCTTTGTGTCATGCCGATCCGTCTCCTTACAATCGCAAAGTCCAAAAAACGTCCTTAAAGCGTCAAAGAATGCACTTAGTGTATAGGAAAGTCCGTCCTGAAAAGATAACTCCATTATTCCTTAAATATTATCACTGTTCTCCATTGTTGCAGAGAGGAGAGAAAAAGATAAGGTGCCATAAGTGAATTGTGTGTCCTTCTGACTTGGTTTACACAGTTATAATGGCTGACTGTAGGTCCTATAGCATGACAGATGGTCGAGTCACAACTGTTGCTAGCAAAACGTGTGTTTTCCCAGACTAGACCATCATAACATTGGTCACATGAAAATTAACAGATGGAGACTATATAATGAAAATCAGTTCAATCTGCGTGCCCCTTGATAAATCGGTGTTGTACATGTGTTACGTTGCACTATTTGTATACACTAAAACACATGTGTGGAGCACATCTGCATTTGATGTCTGCTTAAAATTACCCCAACATGTGCAAGTTCCCACAATGTTTTTATTCATACATTTGCTCTTGGTTTCTTAAATATTATCATTGACTGATTTTCATTCATAATGCCAAGATTCTGAGTCATACCAGTTGGACGTTTGGGCCGACAATATAAACTTTCAAAAGAAAGTTTGTACCACACAACCCTAACCCAACAACTCAACCTACTGCCCCCCCCCCCCCTCCCAATATCCCACCACTCATCTGCACATTTCCCCTGAGTACCAATGATTTCACTAATGGAGGTGCATGTCACATGAAGTTTTCATAAACAAACATGCATGTACATTTCAATTTATTTTCTGATACAAAGTTTATTGTTTTATGGATACATTACTGTAGTGTTTACGAATACATAATTACACCTGAAGAAAGCAGGCACTTTTATTATTTTTGAGTGGGGGAAAGTAGTCTGTATTTTTGTATATATTGCCATTTCATTGGAAAATTGTTTTGAATGATTCTGTCATTTGCATTACATATACCCAGAGGTATTATGCAATGTTAAGCAATCAAAACATATTATAGGAATATGAGATAGAATGACAACCAAAATAAAATTAAAAAAACAGAAATTTCAGCATTACAAGAGTGTTTTTCCCAAAATAACAGTTGATTATAGAGATTTTCCCTTAAGGAACACAGTCACTGTCCCCAAAAATTCATTTTATTTTCCCAATTATGTTTTTAAAATTTCATAAAACTCATGTAAATTTCCTCCCCAAAAAGATGAAAATAGCTGCTTTTTGTGGGTGAAAGATAAAACATCAGAAAAAAGAACAAAATGTAAAGAGTTTTTTATGTTGATTTTCTTATCCCCCCCCCCCCAAACATCGCTGATTTTCCCAGCTGGAAATGCCCTGGCCCCTGTACATCTGCATCTTTCAAGATACCTCCCAAATCTGTGTGTTTTCAGCCATTCATACATTGTCCTTTGTTCACACCATGATGCCTGAATCTTCATATAATCTGGGTATCAGTAAAGGATGTCTATTGCATTAGTTATAGGTAATCAGTCATTGCAAACATCGTCAAAACTTCAACCGCACAGGGATTTTCCACTGCCCCATGTAGGGCCAAATACAGGTCCCATTCCCAATTGCAAAACCCCTCCCTTTTTCCCAAAAATGAACTGTGTGTGTTCAATTTTTGAATGCACAAAAACTCAACAAAGTTAACAAACATGGCCAGTTTTAGAAAACTGAATGAAATGATCAAAACTTTAAGAAACTTGGCTAAAACTTTATTATAATTGATCTATTCTCTGATTTATATTCTGAATAATTAAATAAAAGATCAATTTTATTCATCAGAAGTGTTCATTTCTTGAAAGACATGCAATAAAATTTCCCAATAAAGGATAAAATGTCATCAAATTCCCAATTCCAAGGGCCTGGGCTCCATACCTAAAATGGAGTGGAAAATCCCAGCCATACCGGTAAACCTTAATGAATCCCTAATATTATTTTTCAAGTCTTGCATGAATTATTGTATGTCTTGCTTCATTGATGTTTGGTATACAGGGTTGTCCCTAAGACCAGGGGGCCGGGGAATTTCCCCGCTTATAATGATGTAACCCCCGGGTTATTTTGAAATTCCTCCAAAAACTACCCATTAGTGGATCGAGGAACCCCAGATCCCCTTCTACTTTTTAAATGTCCCCTTCTATTTCAATTTTTAGGGACAACCCAAGGTATATATGTATATATGCCAAGACACTGTTTCATGAAAAAGAAAAATTCAGTACCACCAACTTAAAACTACACAAAGGCCATGTATATTTGTAAAATGTTCTTGGAAGTTAAATGTTCAGAAAACGGGGAAATCTTAGATCCACTCCATCCACTCGCCATTAGATCCACCCCATCCACTCGCCAGATACACCTGGCACATTATTTACAGACTAAATACAAAAAGGACAACAATATATACACGCACCAATTGTGAAATTTTTATTTTTTCAGGTTCATTAAAATTCATGAAGTCTTTCTAAAAGTGTCAGCTAAACAATGTCCCTGTATTTACCTGGGGGATGTCAATATTGTGTGTATTTTTCTCCCCTTATCTTGATCAATGCAAACTGGACGTGTGAAATATTTTGTCAGATAAAGATCTAATGTAGAAGTATAGACACTGTATCAGTGTTGTCATCTCATTTCAATAAGTTTGGTGGTGGTTGGAATTCTAGATTTATTGCCCCACATGCCAGTTTGGCCCTCTTTGCTTGTTTGTTTATTCTATTTTTTGAGTTGCATGTTTTTTGTTTTGTTTATTTGTTTTTGTTTTGTTTGTTTGTTTTTTTTTTTTTTTACATTCTTTCTCCTGTGTATGTTTTATGTTGCATATGTTGTGTTTCTTTGTAAAAAATTGATTTGCATATTTCATATTACACATGCTACTGTGAAAAAAAAACTGAATTTACAATTTTAGGCCAAATATACATAAAAGAAGCATCAAGTTATTTATAATGTTATAAATAAATGTTGAATCAATATCACATTTAGTTTTTAAGGGGGGGGGGGGGTCTTGAAGAAAGCTATATTAAATATAAATTTAGTTGTTTTTCCTTTGTTAGACATTGAACTTTTTGAACTTCTTCCTTAGGTAGGCTATTTGGAAAAGAATAGCTGTGTAAAGCAAAATTAGTTTAAAACTAAAGGGTTATTAATAGGAATTGATGCATTTTTTTTTAGCCCTTTTATGTATTTAACGTAATAAACATAAGTTGATAACCATTCTGTAGTTAATGAATGTGGAAAAAATGATAACATTTCAACATATTAACTGCAGCATATATTAACAGGTTAAATATTATGGCCTGAAACTGTCATAAAAGACAGTTTAAATTTCCAACTGGAACATTTGTTGCTTGTTCTCCTTTTTTTTCTTTTTGCATGGTTATTGTAATTTTTCTTTCTTTGCATGTCTATTATTTTAATGGTTTATTTATATATGTGTACAGTACAGCCTGTCTCTATTGACTCCAAGGGCAGATATAATAAGCAAAATTGTCACATAGATATCACAGGGCATTCTTTCTTCCTGATATTGTCCAGTTTACAAGCACATAGACTTTCCGATATAGGTGTATCCCTAAGTAAGTTATGCATTGATGAACTTTTAAAGAAAAAAACTCCATGCTACAGTATTTGATGGCCATAAATTTGAAGTTTTGAAACAATCTCGGATTTCTTTTTTTCCTTGAATTAAAACACAGTATTTGATCCAAATTTATTTCATTGTTATTGTCATTTTGTCATTAGTGGTGTGGAAAAATAACATATAAAATAATATATATATGAAAACTTTTAGGCATTGGTTGAGAGTAAATGTTGAAATCCAAAAAAGAACTCTTTACTGATTATTATGAAGAGAGCTGTTTTATTTGTTGTATTGTTCCTTTATTTTGAGGATGTTTAAAAAAAAAATTCAATAAAATTAAAAAAAAAAAAATCAATATTGATTCTCATCTCTAACTTGAGATTAATTTTGGTTATTAAGACAAATTATTCTTGAGGATGTTTTAGACTGAGACACAGTGTGGACCACTTTAATAAATGATAAATATATATTGCACTATAAAATTACAAAACTTTAGTAATGCATTCTTTTCTTCCATATTTCCTTGATTGTGAAAGGAAATGAAGTAATATCTAACCTTGCACAAAAAAGGTAATTCAAAATTTTTAAAAAAATTGGGTTCACTTGTAGAAGACAGGATGTTGTTTTATACAGGGGCTTGGTGAGACAGGTTGTACTGTATATAAACAAGATTGTCACCAGATAAGAAGGAATTCCATATCTGAAATTTTCATACATTCCACAATTATATATAGGATACTTCCTAAAAAAAAAAGAAAATGGATGAAAACTGAAATATGTGTCAGAAACAAAATTCCACCTAACTTTCGGGTAGACTTCACTAATATTAAAAGTTTATAATTTTAATTTTTACATTGTCATTCTTTCTTGGTGACACATCTTTCTCTTTTAATTTGTTTTTCTGTTTGCTTTTGTTTTGCATGCCTTTCTCCTACCTTTCGTTTATGTCTGTCGTTTCAGGTATAACCCTGGCGGTGAGGGGATGACTTCCCCGCCCGGTGTCTCGTTTTTTAGGGAGGGGCCACCAAGCATGCTCCCTAACGTTTATTCCTCTCCTCCTCGCTCGTCTAACCCAACGTTTTATCAGCATCACAGATATCCACCTCAACCACCACAATACGGCGCCCACCACGGGGCGTCGCGACAACCACCGCCCAATGTTACTGTAGATACGGTTAGTATAATGTCAGTGTTTGATCTCTGTTTTACAGGTCCTTCACGGGCGCCATGAATGACCCCAATACCCCACATGGCACATTTGGGGACCGGATGAATATGCATTCGGATAAGGAGCTTTCAGATTTGCTAGATTTCAGTGCGGTAAGTGTGTCGGTGTTGTCAAATTTTCAGGTACTGCAAAAGGTAAGATACTGTGAGTAGATTCATCTACAAACTTAAGGTACCAAACCTTGTTCAACTAAACTTGTTCCACCTAGTTTAAACTCTCATAAAAAGCGAAGGTTGTTGGGGTTCACCTGAAGAAATCAGGGTCAGCACTGCATGCATTTTTGGTGAGGATGACTTTTTTTGTTGGGCTTCATGAAAGATATCACTGATCAAACTTTACAGAAGTTTGTACACAAGAGTTGCAGTTTTTAAAGAGTCCATTACAGCATGGTAGAATAAAGGGATGATCGGCAACATATAGAAATCCCCTTTAACATTCTCCCCACCCCACCCCAAAACTGAAATCAAGTTATTGTGAGGAATTCAACTATCAACCTGTGACAGGAATCCATCATCAATTTGAGTCAGAGTGTACGATATGTCTTACATAGTTAAGAAATGTAGAGTACTTCTGTCATGTACATATCTTAGAGTATTTATTAAAAAGCGGTGATGGTTTTCGTATTCTTTTTACTGATTGGTTAACATCATCTGGGATTCTTGAGTGCGTGACAAGAGGAATTTGAGATATCTTCTTTTTAGATCTTTTGTTTTTAGGTCAGCATTTTATGATTGATATAAGAAGGTTTTGAAATATTGGGAAATATTGTGTTGAGGGAAGATATTGTCAAAGACAGGTTAGAGAAAGGTTTTTTGTTTTGTTTTATAGTTTTTTTTTTTTGTCTTTCGCTGCAAATGTAATCCTGCAAAAAATATAGAAGTTTTATGCTAATGCTAACATTTAAAAAGTCAAAGTTTTCTATATGTATATTTATATATGTGTGGATTAATGTGATAAATGCTATAAAAAATTATTTTTAAAAAAAATGAGACAAAGAAAAAACAGGTAAGGCCAATGCACTGAATACCCCTTGTAATGTGCCAGCATAGCTATAGTGATATATATATATATAAGTAATACAGGTGTAATACAGGGCTAGCAATGTAAGGTGTGTGTATGTGTGTGAATTTAATGATGTATGCAATAATAAGAAGCTCAAAGAATGCAGAGATATTGGTTTAAGCTGTGTGGAATGATCGCACACTTCAAATAAGATTAGCTTTGTGTAGGCAAAATCAGGCAGAAAAATCAGCCGTACTGTTGATTTTAAAGTCTCCCTAGGTGTGATAATCCTCGAAAATCTGTTTTACACTAAGTACAGTAATTCATTAAGTGTAATCTCCCAATAATCTTGTTTGATGAAGATTTTTTTTCCTTTCTTTTTTCGATGGCTTGAGAGAAATTATTTTCATTGACAAAGGCATTGAGGGATTTAGGTGTAAATCAGGTTAAAATCGGAAATTTAATGGAAAAGAAAAAAACCCACAAATTGGCTACAGGACATTTTTGTGAAAGAAAAATTTTGGATGGATGGTAGAACATAGATTACATATAAATGAACTGAATAAAGGGCTTAATCATTTGCTTTTGATGTTAAAATATTTGAAGAATTGAGAAAGAATTATTTTAAAGTCACGGGGTAATTTTCTGTTTTTGTTGGTAGGTCAGTGGTTGAAGGAAGAGCCCCTTATTCTTATTGGAACTCAAACTGAAGAAATGTTCCACATGCAATTACTCCTGTATTATAAGCTCAGTAATTTTATGGCCTTTTTAAGTAGAAATTCATGCCTGAATGAACTTGTAGGCAACAGCTGTTCCCTACTCAGCTTTCAGAAAAAAAAAAGTCGGGGATCACTGGCGACAAAGGTCAAACACACTGTAGTTCCACATTAAATAAGATTTTTTGAAAAGAAAGAAAAAAAAGTAGGTGAAAAATAAAAAGGGTTAATGTTAAGTTGTTTTGTATTTCATACTGTCATGAAATGGAAATCATAGAAAATTTGTTAAAAACTTGAAAATTAAAATTGCAGCAGAAGTCTCTTTGAGATTACCTGTGTAGCGGTAACTCAAGGATTGTCATTAAAATGTTCAGTGTTTGGGTTAGAGATTAGGGCACGAGATTGTTAAATATGAGCAGCTGTTAGGTATAGACAGGGGTGACCCCCTCTAGTACACACCACTGTGAAAGAAATCTCTGAGAGAGACTGTGTTACTAGGGGTCTATTATGCATTAGGATAGCTGTGGTTTATAAAAGAAGGTGGCTTTCTTGGAACTTTATACAAAATTATTTCTTTTTTAAGACAAAAAATGTGTGACCAATTTTGTATAATTTCATGAATTTTTTTTTCTAAAAGGGGGAAGGGAGGGGGCAGAGTGTGATGTTAAATCGTGAAATCCAGGATATATTTAACCCTTGATGTTTGACTTTTTTCCAGGCATTTTTTCTTTTCCATTTTGATTTTTGTATTAAATTAAATCATGAGCTTCTGCATATCATTTTTGCCTACATTTTTTGTTTCTTAAAAAAGTGGATTTGATAAAGTCATTGAGTGGAATATTCAAAGCACATTTTTAATGTGAACAAAGAAACATTTATTTAAAAAAGATGTTTTTTTAAAGGGATTGGCACTTTGTTGAAGTATAACTTTTTAAATAGTAAAAGCTTTTTTGAATGTATAACGAAATGTGTAAAATGTAAAGAATGGAAAGCTCACTTTGTTATTTGAATGATACCAAGAATAAAAAATCAAGAAGATATAAAGTTTTTGGGGGGCCATATTATCGTAAGAGTTGAAACAAGGTCAGAAAAAATCATGAATGAAACTGTTGTGTATTGAATAGGAACACATTGCAGTAGTACACATTCCTTAAATATCCCACCAATCAATAATTCCCCACAGTTGGGGAGCACCTGTTGTCCATAACAACCAGATGGTGGTTCCTGTCATGGCCACCAGGTGGCCTCACCCTCCAAGGTCATGCAAACGTTTGGCAGACTAGGCTTAGCCAGTGATAAGTAGGAGCAGATGGCAGACTGTGTCAGAACAGTGCTTGTAATCAGTCTGCGTTTTGAAGCAGAAGTGAAAACTTCAGGCTGTAGTTGTAGAACTGATGTTTGAATGAGATCTAGTTTAAGAATTCTGCCTAGGAACTGTGTTAAGATGTTATTGTACTCTGTGATTAAAATAATCTCCAAATTAGTTATTTAAAATTTGTATGTATACATGTTCCTGAAAATTATGCTATGTGGCCTTGACCTTTTACAGAAATCTGATTTTTTTTTGGATTTTGATGTTTGTGATATATAGAGATTATTTTACATGCTGTTGGTCTCCTAAAGATACACTTCTTTCAATTCATTTCCAAGAAGAACGGGACTAAATGAGATTAAAGTATAAAAGTCAAATATTTCTGGAAAAGGAACAAAAAGATCTGCTCTGATAATTCTAAAGAAAGTTGACATTTTTTGGTCACCTAAATTAAAATGTGGCAGTAAAAAATGTTAATTCCATATGAGATAGAAGCCACTTATTACTTATTTAGATAGGAAAAAATGCAATTGAAAATGAACCAATGATGTTTTTAAATTGAAAAGGAGCAAACTTCCTTGAAAGGATAAATGAATGTTAACTCCATTGATTGAAAATCAGGAAACATGGTGTTATGCCACTCTTGGTCTGAACATGCTTGATAATGGAAAAATTGTCATTTTCTTTATGTTAATCTTTGATCTTGATATAAAAGAAAAAATGCAAAATGAGCAAGTTTAAAAAAAAAAAAATCAGGAAAAGAATTATGCCCTATTTGATCTGAAAGTGATTTGAGGTAAAGCACTTTGTTTTCTTAATTCCAAGTTTATCCTTGGAGCCTGCTGAGAAAAGAAAAAGGGGGGAAAAAATCTAAACTGTGTATTAAATATATTGATAAAGTGAGAGAGCTTGAGGGTAGGAAATCTTAGGTAGAGAGTTGATTACAGAGTCAGATGCCAGATGAGGACGCTTCTGTTGATCATTGAGAGGTTGGTGAACTTGCTGTAAGAATGACAAACAGTGATTGTACATGTATAGAGAATCAATGATTCCTGTGACCAAGATTGTTCAATCACTTAAGTGGCTGATCCAGGATTCCTTCAAAGGAGGGCCCACCAAGCCTGGGGTGGGGTGGGGGGCTTTAAGGACACCCAGTGGGTCCAGATCAAGTCCTGGTTGGGGCCCATTAGGCAAAGTCCCTGGAAGCTCCCAGGTTTTAGGTCTTTTTTTAAGATCAGTTTTGAGAGTTATTTACTTTAACATATAATAAAGATATCTAATAAAAACAGTATTGATTTATTCGTCTTTACTAAATTTGGGTCACAAAACGGGGGGTCCAGCCACCCTGAATCTCCCTCTATATTCACAGGTGAAGTGATGAAGTCAGGGGTTTAAACAAAAAGGATTCTGACATCTTCTGTAACAGAATGTATTTTATGGAGTTCAAGTGCGTATGAGTAGAAGGTATGTCAGTATTAGAATACCTTTGAAATAGAAGCTATAAGTTAAAGTAACCTCAGTGCAAGACAAGGTGCCTCATTGTGTTCATACAAGCAGATGCACTGGTATTACTTATTGGAATAAGCCTGCAGGACCAAAAAGAGGCTTTGATTTACTCATTATCTCAAATCTGATAGGACTGAGGGAAAAACACTGAGATATTGGATATTTCAAGATATTGAGCTTAAAATTGCATTAAGAAAAAGTGGCTGGGATTTTTAATTCACTTCGACGTATCCATGGTATTCAAGATATCAAAGTTCAAGATAGCAAAGTTCAACTGTATTTTCAGTTATATTAAATTAATAACCTGTAAGATATGGATTAAACATGTATTGAAAATCTTACTTAGCATGTTACCTATATTCTGATACAATAATGATACCTTATTTGAAGAAGGGAAACCAATTGGTGAAAGCATGATCATGTTGCACAAACAGAAAATATCTTTGAAAAAAAAAAACCCAAAGGATTCTATAGTGTAAAATGGGCTTTTTCCCAGTGTAGAAGTCAATAATAACATATAAATGATTACCATGCTGTATAAAGATCTTGATTGAATATTATAGGTGGAAAAAATCAGAAAAGAACTCGCTAAAGAGATTAAATTCTAGGATAAAAACCACACCTTATCCAATTATACACACATTCGTATTGACATCTACATTCAATTACATTTATACGTAAATTGTATTATTTTGATAGGTTTAAGATTTTTTTCATTAGTAGCTATCATTGCTTGATACCTTGATCTATTATGATCAATCCTCGTTAGGCCGATGTCTGTCTGGTTTTACGAGAGTCACAGCTGAGTAGTAGTTAGTACGGACTTATCTTGGTGACTGGTTCTCCCTTGACCGATAATGACCAGTTTATTGTTTAGCTGTCAGTCATGGGGTTGTTCATCATCCTGAAAAAGAACCCACACAGTGTTGTTAAACATGGATGAGTTAGAAAAGCATGGGGGTTCAAAAACAAAAAAAACGAGAACAGGGATTACATAATGACCATCTATACATAAATGAAATATAGCTTAGTTATAGACAAAAAAAATTATCGTAGAAAGATGTTAATTAAAATTTAAATATAAATATTATATAAAATATGGAGTTTTTCAACATAGGACAATGAAGTATTGATGTACAAAAATCACATGGAAATTTATGAAGTGTTCAATTAATTTATTTTGGCCTATAAAATGTTAAGAATGCTTGAATTGATTTATCATTACAAATTTTAATTAGTAACTACAGTGTATACTTAAAATTATTTTATTTCAGATCTAAGGGCAGCTTACTCTGCATAAAAATACTATAATGGAATTCAATAGTACTGTTTCAGTGTAGTGTAACACTAACAGTATATTGAGGATTTTTAAGGAGGAATGCTCCTCAATTAAGGGAGATTATCATTTAATTTCTTCACAAAATTTTCATCTTTGGCAATGATGTCTTTTCAATTTGGCTGGTGTGAGAACCTAGCTTTGCTTTTAATTATAATTTTTTCTCTACCCTATGTTAGGAAATCGTCATGGTAACAGAAAATTCCAATATAGTGGGCTTAAGAAAGAAAAAAAATTGTGGAAAGGTCAACACTGTTCAAAATCTATTTCTAAAAGTCAAGTGAATAGGGGTTAGGTGTGATAGTTAATGGTACAGGTTTTTTAGGGGGGTGGGGGATGGGGTTGGAAATTGAAGATGTGTGAAACATGTTTAAACTTATACAAATCTTGTCAGCATTGAATGCAGGAGCGTTGTGAAAAGAGATTTAAGGTTGGTGTACAAAAGTTTACATTCTGAATGCATGGGTTACAAAATTGATGGATATTATTGGAGAGAAATTCTTAATGAAGTTTGAGAAGAAAATCTAGAAAAACAAATCTCTATTAATTTTATTGATAAGTAATGATGTGTACTGTATGTTTGTCAATTAATTCCACCTGTCACATATTGATAATTTCAAGAGTGAAAAAAGTTGACTAGAAACAAAAAACAATTATATTACATGTATATAGTATTATCAAAGGCTTTTAACTCAAGAGATTTTTGGATGATTTTGATTAAATAGATTTCAAATTTATTTTGAACACTTCAAATGCAACATGAAACTATACTCATAAAGGTCAGCTCAGTGTGATTTTACCATTGAAATTCTGATTATATCAATGTTTCAAAAGCAGACAGGACATAGGTATATATAATGTGCTATGTTTACTTGTATTGTATTGTGCAAGTCATTGAATTTTGATTGACAGGGACAGCTGAACGTCTTATTAAATACATCATATTGAGTATCGTCCTTTACACATGTATATTATTTCCTTTTTCCTATGTTTTATTAGGTTCTTCATCCTTTAACATTTTAAAAAAAAATCATTTTCACCCAGCTAAGTAAAGTTTTTGGTCAGGTTTTTAAAATGTTTTCATGGGTAAGTGATACAATGTTTTATAATGGAGCCTAGTTATCTTAATTAACATTTTGTGATATTTAGCTACATCATTGAGAAAATCATGGTGGAATATAATATAAAATTTTGATTATTTTTTCTCTCTTCTTTGACAGATGTTTTCTCCTCCTGTGGGTTCCAATGCCGTGATGAAGAACAACCCCCAACAGAGCAACCAGAACATGGAATTCGGATTCAAACCAGGTACCTTTTTCTTTAGTGTCAGTCGGTGAAGTGTTCATCTCAGTTGTTCATGTTCACAATCTTCTGAAGTGTGTAGAGATTTAACTACTTCAGTTATTCTGGAGCTAATATTAGTACTTTACAAGTTTTGAATTTTGAATCTGTGTGAACAAGTTGACATGATTAGATTCAAACCAATATCTCTGTCTTCAATTGTATTGTTAATTCTTTTGACTCCCAAGTCATGGTGATGGTAGATGGGATCTTGTGTATGGAAAACTTTGAGACCATACAACTGGAAAGGCATTTGTCATGGAATTTTTGATTTTGGTATTTAGTGTTTTGTTGTCCTTTATATGTAATATGTATATTCAGTTGTACTATAATACATGTATACTGTAAAATGTATTTGTTTCTGTTTTGTCGTAATTCCACAGAATAACAACTTCCAATCAAACTGTGGGTAGAAAATTACACAGATTTCTTGGAATACCATTGTATCTCCTAAGTGCACTTTAAGCACAATGTGACAAATTCCATAGAAAATTTTTGACTATACATAGTGTAAATTAATTCTATGAGGAAACATGTGTCTACAGTATTTATGAATTATTTATCATAAATAATGCAATCTAAAAGCGTCACTTTACGTAATACTCCTCAGTCGCACTCCAAACACCAGGATAGAAGCTCACAATATTGTAACTTTCAAAATAAGGAGCTATCGACTTATACGGGATGCGTCGGCACATTACTATGGGGTAATGCATCAACATATGCCAGTGGGGGGCAATTGGTAATCAGAGTACAATTATTTGAAGTAACACACTGACAATTGTATATAACATTGTTTATTTATTTTTCATTTCTGTTTTCTTTTTCCTTTTTGTTTGGTTGTTTTCTTTTCTTACTTTGTATATTTTGTATAATGTATAGTTGATTTTGTTCTATATATTATCTCATGTCATGAGGAAATAAAGAATGAATGAATGAATGAATAAAAGCGTCGCAAAATTCCTGTCAATCAACAGTGACCAATGGCCTCTCACTTGTAACTTAACCAGCAGAGCTGACAAATTTTTAGGATTTAAAAAAAGGTAATTTCTATCATGATATATATTTTTAAAAAAAGGGAAGAAGAATAGGGTGGATCCAGGATTTCCAGCTAGGATGGGGGTGGATGTGACAACTTCTGGAAAACCTAAATTACAGCAGAAGCTCAAAGTTTAGTTTTAATAGATTCCACCTCCTTCCTCCCCCCCCCCCCCCCTTTTCCCTCCCACCACCTACCAATGTGAAAAGAGGGTTTACTCTGATCATTGAGCAAATTTGAAAGCTACATATTATTCTTGCCTGAATTCACAGCAGAGTTAAATTGGCTAGTTCCAGATAGTTAACAAATATTGTTCTTGAATTAAAAAGAGGTATAGATAGCATATGACCCATCTATATGGTTTATCAGATACAAAAGAATATACTTTTTTTTTACCCAAAGAGAAACAATTTGATGGACACAAAATACATTCTGTGGAAGACATTGAGCTTGTACATAGAGAAATAGTCATAATTTCTGCTGCTGTTGGGAATGTAAGCTGGTCTCGTGTTACAAACCCTGTTACTCCCCACACTGAAGTAAGGGGATTGTGTGTTAGGTACATCAATACATTTACTTTGGCTCAATGTGGGAAGGTGCCAAAAATATTGCACTGACGGTGCACTCAGCAAGTCACGCTTCTCTTTGTTGTATGAAATGTTTTCTGGATTCGTAAAATAAAAAAATATAGTTGATAGATATAAATATTGTTTTGTAAAAGTTTTGAAATAGGTATTTAGTTTTTGCAACTATCTGTTTTGCAGTTTATTTTTATCTGCAATTTTTCCAGCAACCACCTTCAAAAAACAAAGAAAACAAAATATGAATCACTTGATGACTAATAAATTGGTCACAAAATTTAATCTTTAAATTCTCGTGGAGGATTCAAATTTTTTCATGAAATAATGATATCAGCAATTTAAACCCCCATTTGGTGCCCATGAAATGCTTTTGGTGCAGAAAAGTTGCAACCAAATGACAGATTTAGAATGCATGTTTTACCAAATTTATGATGATGTGTAGTCATTTACAAAGGACAACATCATTTTATGAGCATGGAGTTGTATTTTGAGCCAAAAAGGGGGGCAGATGTGTTATAATTTATGATTGTGTTGACAGCAATAAATTTGTTGTTTGTAATGGGGTTGATGTAAGTGTCATTAATTATAACAAATTTCAAGGTGCTGATTTATAACAACCCATGTTAATGTGCCCACTTTTAAAAGTTGACCCAATTAAGAATCTACATAAGTATTATATTTCCTGTATACACATATTTCAGCTAAAAAGATTAAGTGAAAGGTTTAAGTATTCTCATACAAAAAATATGATATAAAAGTAGCTTACAAAACTCTCTCAATAATGGCCTAATGCTTCATTACATGTATCTTCAAAATACAGATTCCCAAAAGGTCAGAGGTCAAACTCTGTGTAGTTCGGTGTCCTGGCATTTTTTATCTGTATTGGCTCTTTCTGTTCATTTAACACCTGTCTAATGTAAACAAACCTTCCTCTATGTGTGTATGTGTGTGTGAGTGAGAGCCCTCTCCTCCCGATAAATGGGGAGCCGAGCTTCTGGAGAGTGAGTTTAGGGAGCAGATCTACCTTTAAACAGGTAGACTGTTACCTCTAGCAAGGTGTCCATATACGTCCCCGAAACTGTGGTTCTATTTGTTAAGCTATCTAGTGTATGTATAGAATTAAGGATTAGAGACCACTCGTAGATCCGTCAAATTCACACCTTTGATAATGACCAGGTAGACCTACTTACAAAGGTGAAGATTTTGACAGGGTTTTAAATTGATTTTGGAGGTGTGTATGTGTATATTCAGGAAAAAAGAGCTTTTGATGGAGGAAAAAACTGTGTTAAATAAATATTGACTAAAAGTTTGATTTTACAGTATGTTCTATTCACAGGAAAATCTGATTTTTAATAAAAAGTTAATTGATTCTTTTTTGAGAAGTTTGCTGAATATATAATGTATATTTTTAAAGATCAGACTGGAAGTGTTAAAAAATGGAAAGATTTTTTAATATTCATATATCTCTCTGCTTTAAAAATGCTCTAGGTACTACAATTTTACTATTTGTACATTAAATAGAAATCTATAAAAATAATCTTGTTCTTCTCAGTCATTAAACAAAAGAAAAAAAATGAACAAAGTTGATAAAAATGAATGAAAATCCCAGATTGATAATTAATTAAACAGATAATTAACACTTTAACCAACCAACAAATAAGCAGCCCACGTCTTCATTGAACGTTAAGCTTCCTTGTGGAGATGGCTTGTTAGTTGGGCGCCTTGAATGAGAGAGCGTTATTGATTATAATGTGATGTGCCTTTTGTTAGGTTGTAAATTGGCATGATCTCGTACCCAGAGGTCAATTAGGACAAACATGGCAATTAGGACAAACACGGCAGATAATACAATCTTTGATGTTTGATTTGGTGATTTAAGGAAAACAATTGGTTATAGGGGCAAAGAAATGGGCAGAACTGGTGTACTGAATGAAAAAAAAAAGAAGATACTTCATTGAAGCTGTAAATAAAGTATGTGAAAGAAACTGAATTTGTTAGAAAGATGCAGATAAACAGTTGTGTTACAGATTCATATGGTTTTTTGCAACTTGAAGGTTTCTAGTTGCATTTTTCAGAAAGCCTTCCTGTTGGTTGAACCAAAAAAGAAAAAAAAATGAAAAAACAAAAACATAAACATAAAAGGGGACTAAAGAAAAGAAAAGAAAACAAAAAAAAAAAAAACAAAAAGAAAAAAAGCAAAGTTGAGGTTAGAAAAATGCAAATGTCAAATATACATGAATATTCCAAAAAGAGAGGTAAAACAGTTGTATGAATGAAGAATATTTGTAAGGGATTGACAAGAATTCTAATTAGTTGTCATATTTATCACATAAAGTGTGCTCAGACCCACACTTTCATGTAGTAAAATGATGAATAAATAGGTAAAACATTGGAGGGGGGCGATGGAAAATGTCCCAGGACCGGTCAGAACTTCGCAGCATGTCCTAATAATATTACCACTTCTGCTTTATTTATTCCTATATAGTTCAAATAAATCAGGGACCTAGTGTTACGCATTCATGGTCAAAATTGGCGGTGCCCCTTTGATGTGTATTTGGACCTAACACAGATTGCTAATTATGATAACATAAAGATGTCATACTAACTTGGAAAGTGAAGTGAAAGGGCTAGCATGAAGGATTTGTGAATGCAGATATTCTTTGATTGGAATTCACCTAAAAGAACGCTCCCCAAATTATTGTAGACTTATACATTCATAAAAGTGGGGAAATCTCTGATGAGTGGCTTTAGTTTAATATTGTTGTTTGTGCATTCAGTTCTTGTTTTGAAGTGAAAGTTGGAACATTTGTCAATGGATAGATCCCTTATGTTTGGGGATTATGACATAGGTATGAGTTTTTTTCCTCAGTAATAAGCTGTGTTAACAAGTGTTACTATATATATATATATATATACATGTATAGTGTTTGGTTGCCTTTTCCATTTAATTTTATTGAGTGCTGATTATCATCTGGTGGTTAATTTTCCTTTTGGGAATATATGTGTCAGGAAATGATCCCCAGAAGAAGAGAAAAAGAATTTCCATTGCACAGATTTAGCAATTTACCAGTGATTAGTCCGTAATAATGAGATTAACTCTGTGTTTTGTAGGATTAGATGAAGGCTCGTGGAATTCCAATAATCCTCCGGGCTCCTTTGACAGACCGGTAAGTGTTAACTAAGACATTTTATCATTGGTTGCAGGGAATGGTTTAGTACTGAAGACTGTAGGCTAGTCAAATTTTTGAAAAAAAAAAAGATATCCCTTGTTTGAAGTCATATATTATGTAGAGAAATGAAAAGAGTAATTATGGGGTACATGTTTAGTTTAGCAAGTTAGAGTGCTTGATGAGAAAAATGATGTGCAACATGTAGGTGTCACTATGATGCTTAGCATATACAGAGTTGTAAATGCAAAACTAAGACACGTGGTCAGTTGCAGAAGAAATTCAGTTGGAAAGCAGTAGGGCTTAGAAAAAAGTCTGTTTCTCAGAGGGAAGGTGAATGGCCCCAGATCAATTGGTCAATTTCATTAAGGCATGCATTGATTTACAGAATGCTGGGTACATGTCTTTAGGTGTGCACTCTAATATGTAGATTACATGCTTTATGTTGACATATTTTTTGAGCTATGGGTTTATGAAGTGCAATTAATTATCCTCTAAGAAATTGTCCCCACGTATCTTTTATGCCTACCCTCTCGGCACATGATTGGCATAAAAAAAACTGTCCCCTGCCACCATTATGGCCATGACAACATCTTCCATGGAATACAGATTGCATGAAAATAAAGTAAAAAAAAACTGGCCTGATAATAATATAATGTAACATCTTCCGCAGCCAAATAGAGGCAGTTCCTGGAAATGATGATCATCCCCCCCCCCCCCCCCCCCACCCCTCCAAAAAAAAAAGTGTTTTTTCCCATTGTTTTAAAGATTCAATATAAAATTCTTCCTAAAATGGATGAAAAGGGCTAGTTTTAAAATATTGGTGAAAAACATTGTTAATTGAAAATAATTTCAAAGAAAGAACTATATACGGTAAGGGCATATTCCTGCCCCCATAATAGTCAAATTTTGAAAATCTCTTGAAATGAGCAAAAATGCATATATTGTATAAAATAATCCAAATTAAGACAATATATTATGAAATTGGAAAAATTAGTTGGCTTTTCTTGTCTCTGTGACGTCACAAACTATTTGGATTTCCGTTATTTTTAAAATGGAGGCCAAAATGCACAGAGTTTGTTCAATTTTGACTATAGTATTTATAGAGCGCAAGCTTGCTCAGGTACCATATTCACATATTTCATTGATATTGACATTCTACACATTATATCAAAAGATCTAGTCTGAGCAGACTTGCGCTCGATAATTTCTAATCAAAATACCGACGTAAAATACACTATTTTCTCTCAAAATCATTGCAATTTGGAATTTACGTCATTTTATTGACATCATATCTAACTAATGATGTCATAGTTGATAAAAATATTTAATGCTTTCAAGTCTGCAAATATCCACCTGGTTTAGAACATAATTAAAGATTTCTCCATCAAAGTTTTATTTTGGGGGCAGATACTGGCCACTACAGAATATAGTCCTTTTTTTTTCTCTCTTTCAGATGTACGACCAAAATTTCAACGGCCAAACAGACAACATGCACCCTTTTTCCAACGAAGTTCCAAACCTAATCAACAGTGAGTGTAACTACTTTTGAGACCCACCTTTACTTTATATTAAAGCCTTTAGTGCCTTAGTTTTTAGCTCACCCTGTAGATCACAAAAAATTTTTCGAAACGGCTCTCATTTTTGTAAGATAGTTATTTTGTATTTATTAGCGAGACAAAATTTTCTTTAATAATATTAATATGCACAAGATTGAAATTTTGGTGAGCAGATGGTCATGTATAATGATGCAAAAAAAAAATTCTCACAAAAAAGAATGTGATTTACAGTAGATACTTGGGAATAGACTTGGTTCAAAAAACTTTAACATGGTGACTCATCCGGAAAATGTAGGTCAGATTCAACATCCAAAGCAAATTTGGTAGTTTGCATTCCTGAATGCATCATCCATTTAAGTTTGGTCCAAGTATGTTTTATAGATATTTGGGAATAGACTTTCTCCAAAATCTTTAACCTAGGCACTCATCTAGAAAATGTAGGTCAGATCCAGCATCTAAAACTAATCAATTCTCAAGTAACTTGCAACATATGCAACATATAAGATGAAAATTCAGTGTTAATTTTTTTGAAATTTAGTTTATTTTGTTTTTCAGGCAAGACCCAAGATATGCCTTACAGGACAAACATACCTGGTTCTCAGGTGAGTATTGCTGTCCACTGATAAATTACTCAGTTTATAGTGAATCCATGATTCTTTGGTGGTGTTTTACAGAAATTTTCAAGTATGATGACCATTTCAGAAGCAAAATTTGACTTCTAAGATTAATCAGTAATTTAGTGATAGTAATTTCAGCTTTTTAAATGAAAAATAAAAACTTCGGATGTGAAGGTTAAGGGTGAAATATTTAAAAAGAAATCACAAATTTAAGGGAAAGTGGAAACCTATTTTTCAGAAAAGACTTAAGTGCCTTGAGTTTGAAGGAAGTAATAGTTGGCTTTACATAGCTCTAGCTCCCCCCCCCCCCCTTCCCCCAATGATACCAAGGTGAAGAAGGTTTTTGAGAACAGAAGTACCTTAAATCTTACCAAATAAAAGTGATTTATTATAGATGAATGTGATGCTATATCTGTCTTCAACATTGTGACAAATTAGATAAGTACAGATTAGTATGGTTTAGTGATTTATATATAGTGACTTTGCTGGTATTACATATTTGGCATGCGTAGTCTTGGTTGACAGTTTCTGCCAGAATCATTACTCTTTAACGTCCCCATCACAACATCAGGATAAGAAAATTGTCGTTGGTAACTGATGGCTGTATGGAGGACAACAGGACAATACCTAGAGGCTAGAACGGCTAATTGATTTGCTGAGATATAACAAGTTTGTATTTGTGAACACAGTGGGTTGTCTTGAAGATCAGGAATCCTTGTCATTACCAGACTCGCTCTTCATTATTGGAGGAAGAAAAAGTCAATGGCTGAAGACAGTATAGATTTCTTTTGTTGTACGGGATAGTGAAATCAAGTGTTTAATGGTAACTTTACCCCCAGGGCACCTTAGCGTTCTTTTGTAGTAGAGAATGAGAAGGCTGTTTGGAGGAAAAGAAAAAAAAAAGTATGATGTGCTGGTCAATTTTCTGCTACTTTTACCTTTGGGTATACAGTGGACATTTTAGAGACAAGAAAAAAAGTGTGATAGAACTAAATTTTAGTCACTGCTGCAGAATGAAAATTTGTAAGCCCCTTGCCCTGTCCTTGGTATCTACAAATTGTAGAATTTCATTTGTACTGGAGCACTGTTCAGTAGTTGGGTAATTAATAATGTAAATAACAAGGTTATTTGTAAATAGTTAAATGTTTCTATATAAGTCATTAGCTCTCTTCTTCAATGTAAAGTGACTGAGATCAGCTCTGCTTTTCCGTTAGCTCTGTATCTTGCCTGGAGGTGTTAGCTATACATGGACTAGGTTTTTCCCAAAACTCTAGGGAGTGGAGAATTCTAATCAAATTCTCCAATTTTCTCTCCTTTTCTTGTAAGGTTTATCAAGCAATAAAGCCCAGAGGAAGGTGATTTTTTTATCGTATCAAAAACTGTGATGTTTAGCTCTTTTCCTAAATGCACCATTGAAGCCAGTTTGAGAATAAATGTCGCAAGTATTTTACAGTACAAAGTACAGTTACCCCCTCCCCCACCCCAAAGTTATCTCCTATAGCATGGGGTCCTATAGGGGGAAAAAAAATCTTTTTTTTTTTAATATGTACTTTAATATGGATAAGGCCTGTTTCTTTTATTGCAAAGAAAGGTAATGCATTGGTTGAAACTGCCTCGCTGAAATTTGTTTGGCTGGGAAACAGAACAGGTGGCACATAGATGATTTGTATTGCACTGTTTAGAGAATCTCCAATCAAAGTTTATTCCATTGTTAAATGGACTTCCAACTCCGGTGATATGTCTATTTCCTGGTACAGCTTTTAGATAAAGTTCTTTGAGGATTAGAAGAAAAAAAATTAAAGCATTAGAGAAACACAGTGTGCATATGTGCAGAATTTCTCGTTTTTCTGCTGTGCCAATCATTTGGACAAAGGTTTGATTAGTGTGTTTTACTACAAACACACACACTTGTAACAAAGATATCTCACTTGCTGTAGGCAAAGGGGGAGAGGAAAATTTAAATTGATCCTTGGAAAAAAATATAATAATCAGAGGGTCTGTATTAAAAAATGGATATCATTATAATTGATTTATGAAAAAGCATCTCAAATTTACTGTATGTTAACTTATTTATTGGTACTCAGAAAAAAATTCCAATAAAGAATGATTTGGACTTCCATATAGATCTGACCGATTAGCTAGGGGTGTCCACACTGTGGCTCGAACCTACAACCCTCAGATTTAAAATCCAATGCTCTACCTACTGAGCTAAAGGGTTAACCCACTAGCTAGTGCTAGTAGGAGTGTGGCCTCACTATATACAACGCATAGCCACTTTTAACTCTGTTACATAGAAGTGGCTAGCACTGCCATAATATATTCTTTAATTAATTCGGTCAGTTTGAGACTCTTTCAAGTTACTGTTTAGTGTCAATAAATCACTCTGAAAAAGATCCCCCCCCCCAAAAAAAGGGGGAAAAAACAATAACAAAGATTTACATTCACTGTCCCTTTTCTGTTGAGCAGGGCACTGAAAGATTAATTAGAAAAGATGAAGAAGAAAACTGAGAAATTTTTTTTTTCTTCAAAGAATTTTTGATTTATAAGGTTTTTTTTTTTTTTTTTTTTTTTAATCAAATAATGAAAGCCATACATCACAAAGAAAGAATAGGAGTGAATCAAACAATGTAAACATTCGTGAAAGAAGAAAAAGACCTATTTCTTCTGTGATTGCTCATTTGGCTGGTGTAAGATTTATAGAAGTATTTGACATGCAGAACAAAAACAGTGGATAGACTCAGGTGTCTGAACAGGTAAATTAATTAGATTAAGAGATAAGATGCACACCTGAGTCCACCTGTGTCAGGTAGATAAGGATGGATGGGGGGATTGTTAGGGGTCTGGTAGGAGCTGATAGAGGGACGATCAGCATGATTGAAAAACTCCACCGTTTTATTCCTGTGGTGTATAAAAGTTATCACCATTAATGATCATTGCAGGGTAATTAAAACTCTGACCAAAATCATTGAGTGTAAACAGTCAATTATATCACTGCATCATTAGGCTGTTTACAAGAAAAGTTATTTCATGTTTGTTAGGAATGGTGTGAAAAATTTTAGTTATTGGAAAATTGTTATAAGGTTTGGTGTAATTTTTGCATTTTATGCAGATTTATGACTTATTTGTCATCATTGAGGGCCATGGTGGATGAAATTAAAAACTGCATGGAATTTTTTTTTTGGTCTTACTCAACAGCACTCATATTAAGTTTTAATAATGCAAATGTCTGACATGTGTGGAAGTTTACCATGATTCTCTAACTTAATATAATATTAAGTTCAGAAAAGTAAAACCAAGTTGAACTATGAATACCAAATAATAAAACAACTGAAGTTTTTATATGAGAAATGACAACAAAAAATATATATATTTTCAGAGAAAAATTACTTTAAAAAAATTTAGATAAATATTACATAATGAGTAACCCTTGCCTTTTTTTCTCAGTAGGTCGTTACTCTCTGAAACTCGTTTGTCTTTAAATTCAAGGCTTTCCTGTGTAGCCATGAGGTAAAAATTGATGTAATACTGATGAAAATGGTTTCTTTTACTGCTCAAAGAACAGATTAGTCATGTTTTTATTGGGATTATAAAAAATCTGAAGTTTCCACTAGATGAATTTAGCCGAAATTTAAGAAAAATAAAACATTCATTGCATGAGAGTTGAAGGCATGATAAATTTTAAGGTAATTGAATTGTGATTTTATATCAAAACTCTGAAATAGAGGAGCCATTGACTGAATTCTTAAAAAAAAAAAAAATTAAAATGATTTGTGGTAAGGAAAAGACAGAAATTTTTCTTTAATAAATCACCAAGAAATCAACTACCATTTCACATTTTTCTCCCATTATTCATATTAATCGGATCTATTTTCAATGAGTGAAAAATTTTGAAAACACATTATTTTCAGCAGACATGAACTAATGTTTCACACGTCAGTCCTTCCTCAAGATTGATCATGAATTCCAAAAGTTGGAAAGGCGTTGTCTATCTTGTTTCCTGATTCACTCCATACAGAATGTCAAATCTGTCTGGCCATTCAGAAGTTCCGATGGGGCACAGATTTTTAGATATTTTTTTTATTAAAACCTCGTAATGTGCCTTAATTTGACAAGTGCTGCGAGACATGTGCCTTACCTGTATTTTGTATTATGGAGATTGAGAAGTGTAAAATTTAATCTAAGGGCCACATTTGCATTGTGTCAAGGTGTTTTGGTAGAGTACAGAGTTTCTTTGCTATTTGTATAGGAAGAAGTACCGTGTTAATTATGTGAGAATTGATTTAAGGGTTTGCTAGAGGACGGATGAGAGACATTTTTTTCTCGCATAATCACCAGTGTAAGATTGACTTGTCCGATGTGAGACAGCAGTGTGAGATTTTTCTGTCTTACACTGTGTATTACTCCGCCGCGAACGATAACGTAAACATTCCGGCTTTATATAAAGAAATTGTAACAATGTTAAAAAATATTACATATACTTAAAATGTTGTCATTTAACTTATTAAGATAAACTTATTTTCATTCAAAATATTGTCGTATTTTCACTTTTTAAATGGCACTACTTTTAGATCGCGGAAGGATTCTTCTTGAATGAATGTGTACGCTATCGGATAGATAAGTTTTTTTATTCCCAGTTTTTATCTATCTAATTAATTTACATGGACTGAAATTCATTTTATGTTTACACTTTGTGTAAACCATTTTCAGGTACGCTCTCTCCGATGGTGTATTTAGATTTTTAATTAGATGGAAAATTAAAAGAATATATTTTTAGCCCTATCATGGCGACGTCATTGACAGGCCGTTATTTTGGATAAAATAATGCGAGAAAAATAATCATTCATTACATACTCGTGTGGGAATAGTGAAATTCCACCTCGAGGCCAAGATTCACGGTCTAGGACTCGGCAAAGCCTCGTCCTAGACCGTGAATCTTGTCCCCTTGGTGGAATTTCACTATCCCACACTCGTAGTAATGAATGATTCTATTAATCTGCAGCAGGATTCTTGGTGTACCAGGAAATCATATTACCGTGAAAGCACTCATTTTCTATGGGGTTATTTACATATGTATTAAGAGACCAATGAATTTTTCCTCCACAACATGTAAAATTTCAAATGCTTAACAACAAAATCAGACCCCTATACATGTACCAATATTTTTTCCCTCAAAGAGCGAAAGTTTTACATGAAGAAAATACATGATTTTACAAGACCTTCCTAAGCAGTGAAGTAAGAGTTCATCTGCACATAATAGTAATGGAGAATAATGATAGTACATATATCCAGAAACGTTAATTTAAAAACAGTTTTATTGGTTGCAATGGAAGACTGGATCACCCCCCACCCATCTACCTTTCAATTGCTGAAGCTTAATAAAAATAGTTCCTTGATTATCTCAATGATGAAAGGTGAAAGAAATTTTAGTCATTTTGAAAGTGATGTGTATGAAATCCAGCTCTTCATTGTTGGAGGCTGAAATGGCCCATTATTCAAATATATAGGGAAAGCTACCTTAAATGTAGCAGATTCTCTGTAGAATTTGAATAACAGATATTTTTGTGAAGTGGGTGAATGAAGGTGTAAGCATTTGATTTTGTATTTTGCAGGGAATGATGGGAAACAATGTTCCAATGTCTCCTGATTCTCTCTCTCCTGGTGCAAAATCTCCATACTTCTATAACAAGCAGCAAGAAATGCCAATAAAAGGTAAGGTCAGCAAGATCCCAACTTCCCTACACTCCCTCTCTCTATCCCTCTCTCTCTCTCCAGCATATTACAGTGCAGATTACAGTGTTGATTTTGAAAATCTAAATTTGCTTAAAAACTATGCAGCAATTTTTCTGAGTTTGTGATTTCAATTCAAAATGAAAGTCATTTAAATGTATCTGGATAAGACATCATAGTGCATTACAGTTAAAAAAAGTTATTACATGTACACTAATAACTTTAGATGAAAACGATTAGCTAAATATGAACAATCAGTTTATGTGTAAGGTTCTGAAAAATGACAAATTTCATTTTGATATTTTAACAGGTCGACGTGGTAGTGCTCATGGTGCTTCAGGTAAAAGGTCAAAGGTAAGTGGTCATGGTTCATTGAACATCTTTACAGGTCATTGACACCCCATGTTGTTTTGTCCTCAAAGGGAGAGTTGGAGTTTCCAGGGCTCAGTGTGAATTGAGATGCTTAGCTCAGTATCTTTCAAGCTTTTAATTCTTATTTATTTTTCTGGCCTGTATATATATGAAAGATTTATTCCATGACTTGGATGAAAAACAGAAAAAAGATTTTCCAAGGACAAAGTCATGACAGAAGATCTTGATTACTGACCCATTTACCAATACCCAAGAAATCCCTATGTCATGCACCTTGGCAAGAAAAAAAAAAGGAAAGGTCTTTGAGTTCATTTAAATTCAATTTATACAGAATATTCCAGAAGTGGTTGAGACACATTGACCCAATTCCTGAGAGTTTCTGGTAAAATGGAAACATTTTTTGTTGGGCATGTCTCGAGTTGTAAAAAAGTGGTGTGTGTGTGTAGTATAGAGTTACACAGACCTTTATTCTATATATTGTCGCTCGGTGAAGCAGATCTTTTTCTTTCATTACCTGAATTGTGAACACCTGTTGCCAATGTGGAATAGATCCGAGAGAGATCGAGATCCTGTATTGACTGTGGTCACAGATGGCATGTTTGTCATACGAAAAAAAAAAAAAAAAAATACAAGCTCCTTTATGGGGGAATTAACAAGGTTTATTGACTGGTTCTAGATGGGATGTTGTTGTTGTGTAGGTTGGGGGGATTAGTTGTGTTAAATGTGCATGTAGATTTTTAATTGAGGGAATAGTTTGAAGTTCGTTCTTGTTAATTAAGGGAATGACCTTTTTCTAGAATGTGACCACAGTTGTTCAATGTTGAGATGTGAATTTCGGAGATTCCATAATTTCTCTAAAATTCACACTTTACCATAGATTTCCATATGCACATCATTGACAAATAAAACATCAAACTAAAATTTCAAATTTTAGTTGATGTGATAAAGTTTATGTGACCATATAGAAAAAAGGAAAACTTCAAAATTGAAAGATTGTTCACTCTGCTATTGTCAGAACTGGCCGAAGGGAGATAACTCTATTATAATATTGTAGTTAAAAAAGCGTGGGAGTCTCCTAGCTTAGGAATTATAAAATTAACCTTCATTAAAGTTTTCCTGTAAAAAATGAATTGTTTTAGACTCTTCATAGCGTTAAAAATTCTTGTTAATGGGTTAGTCATATTTCATTCAACCAGTTGCTATAACTTTTTTGTGGTTGGTTGATGAATGTTGTGTGAATCAGAGCCGAGTTAACAAACTTTTAATAATGCGTTCCAGTCAGTCAGGTAGTGTGTAATGTTGATTGCAAGCAAGACAAAAAAGACTGATTGATTTGGACAGAAATTTGAACAAAAAACATTTGAATGCTCTTTTTATTAAAAAATGCAATTTGGGAAAATAAGAATTGGAAGAAATGTAATTATGCTTATAACAGAATTTACATTAAAAAAATTAATGTGTATAAAATAAAAATTTAATAAAAATGTCAAATGAAAAATTTGCACCGACAAATGATTCAGCTTTTTTTATACCTAAATGTCCACGTTCCTCAACGTTAATCAGTTTTCATTTTAAATGAGTTAATTTTTAGTTGTTTTTTTATAAACAGGATAAATGCACAGTGGTGATCACTTAGATAATAATGCGGTGATTAGGTTCTTTGATGTAAAGGAAAACACACCTGGTTTAACGGCATGGTTGTGAATGTATATATATTTAGATAAGTAAACATGAACAGGTGTGAATTCAGTGCTAACTTGATGATTTTTTAATTAGTCAAAAAAAAAAAAGTATACAGACTTTTAAAGTTTTCTGGTATTTATTGAATCTCAAAGTTAACTCTCCCTACATATGTAATAATTGCATGAAAAAAAAATGGATGAAAGAAAATGTTTCTCAACAATGTAATAAGGTCAAAAAGCAAGCTGCTTTTGTTCTCACAGATGTGGAGAAAGAGAGAGAGAGAGCAAAAAAAAAATCTTGGCAGTAGTCAGATAAAAAGTGCAAAACTCCATGCACGGCTGCTAATAGGTACCAGATGTAGGGAATCTGGCTGACGTGGGTTCGCAAGTTTCGTGTATTTACCTTGTGGTAGATCTCGAGCTGAAGTTTTATACACAGGAAGTCCGGGCACAAACAACGGGATAAAAAACGACACCCGGAGAAGCTTGGATGACTGCATCTGACGTTTTTGTGTGGAGTGATGGGTTCAAGATGTTGGCGTTTTTGTGATGGTTAAAACATAGGCCAATGTCACTTTGGCTTAAGGAATTATTTGAGAGGGCTAAATATATATTTCTACCTCCTAACACTAAAGGTCGAGTTTCAGATTTAATGATTTCCAAAAAATAGTTATATTTATTGAGCATTGAGTGAATGGGCATGGAAGATGTGGTGGTCAAATATGTAATTGAAATTTGATTTCAGCAAATATTTTTTAAATTAGAGAGAAAGACTGCATGTCTTGAATGTTTCATTACCAAAAAGAAAGAAAAACCTTACACCTAATGCCCCCACTCTGTGAAATTTGAACCAACATAGTTTAGTTTTCTAGGTCATTATATATTGCTTATATATAACAGCATGTTATGCTGTAGTGACATTGAATTTTAAGATCAAAAGAGAGAAGTCTATTAAAGATTTGATTTCATAGGAAATGGATGAAATGAAATAATACCACCGTGTACGTGAAAGAGAATGTGTTCTGTAAATAGAGATCTAAAATGGCCTGAATTATAGCATATATATTCCCTTTGTAGTCACCAGACATGCTTTCTGAAGCAGTAATGTATAGGATTAAAGTTTTGGAATTTGAGGAGAGGGGATTAGGGTCTTGTATATACTTTACCTGCATTCTACCTGTAATTTGTGGGGTATACCTGGCAGGTAACGGACATTTACGAAGTGCACACCTGGGGAGGTCTGGAGGTGTTATGTCAGAGAGTTAAAGAGGCATGTGTGGGGGGTCTGTTGTGTCTGAGAGCAGCTAGTAGCTGCATTTCTGTCATGCTTGCCTCAAATGATGTCTGTACTAAGGTATTAAAAAATTATTATGTGCTTCTTTCTTTTTTCAACTGAAATACAAAACCTTGGAAGTAAAATGATTTATGCTTCATTCCAAGTTTGATTTAGACTGCTCAGAGGAAAAAAATACCGAAATGCTTATAAATGTCATTCCAAATTATTTCTGTTAAGATTTTTATTTCAGGGGGCTTTGAAGTTTTGTAAATGGATTCAGTCAGGGAATTGAGGTTAATTAATGGGAAAATTAAATGGAGATACTTGTTTTATTTTGTTAGGGAAGTTTTTTATTATTAGGGAGCACACATTTGTACAGATTTGAGTCGATAACAATACAAGTTGTAATGATTTGATGAAGATCATCTGTATAACAGAAGTCTATGATGAGATGCAGCCATCTTGTACAGCTGTTGTCTGGCCCATCTGTGCACTTGTCTGGCTGCTAAGCCAAGAACAGTAACTCTTACATCACCATACTAAACAGGTGTACAATATTAGGTTGTTGTGAGAGTGTGTGTTTATGAATGAAGAAGTGGGTATTTTTTCATTGAAAAATGATATTATAGTGTTGATAGGAAAAAAAGAATTCATTAAGAAAAATCTACATGTGATATGTCTTATCAGAAATGTCAAGAATACCAATTATGATTTGTTTCAATGCAGTACCTAAAAAATATAGATAAGCAATTTATCTCATTCACCATTAAACATAAGGAGAAGTTAAGAAAAAAAAACCTATGGAGGATGAAGAGAGGGAAAAAAAGTCTCAAGTGGTTTTTCAAAAATAAAATGAGGGAAAAAATCTGGAATACAGGAAAAGGTATGATGTTTTGTCAGTTTACACAGTGAACATCTGGTTCTCATCAGAGGTGCAGTACACCTAGCTAGGGCCTGGGTCATATCCTGTTACTGAAGCTGGATGAGTCCAATCTCAGAAAAAGAGGGGGTGTAGGGGTAGTGGATTATCCTGATCCTCCCTTGCACCTTTTTGATGCTTCAGATTTTCCGTTATAATAATTTTATATTTTTTTCGACAGAAAATTGTGTTCTGTAGTTAAGGGAGGGAAAAAAAATGATGCTTTGAAAATTGACTGCAATGTTTTTGGCTGTTTATGTACTGTTCTTTGAAGCTCTTTAGTCTGTGAAGATACAGAAGTGGGACACACACACAACTTCCAGCACATATCTCCCAGGCTCAGTGTATTGGCAAAAGCAAGGTGTTGGAATTAAGAGAAAGAGTGAGAGATAGAGTCATCTGTTCTGCGCCAGGTTTTTAGCTGGAAATCTGTTTCTCTGTTATTCTTGGCAAGGAACAGCCATCTTCCTAGTGATTTACATTGAACATCTGATTCGAATGAAAGCTTGAAAGGGAGCTGTGATTAAGTTTGACAAGAACAGGTGAAATTCTTACTTCCGTGTTGCAGATATTTATATATTTTTTTTACTGTGGCCTTACTAAACATCTGGTTCCAATCAGCAAAATTGAGGCCAAACCAATGCAGCAATAAAAAAAAATACATTATCTTGATATGTATTCTTTATTGGATCTTGAAAAAAATGTGTTTTTCATCGGTTTTAATGACTGAAGCTCTTGGGGAATGTGTTTGATGAAGAAGTTCTAGATGTGACAATGTCCTATCCCCCCTCTTTTCCAATGTTCTTCTACCCCCGACCCCTCAGACCCGGGGGTATGGTAAGTAACAGTTCTTTTTTTGATTGATCAATTGTTGATTAACATCCATTTCAAAGAATTTTTCACTCGTATAGAGATGTCAACTGCTTCAGGTGAAGTGCTATGAATCTTGACCTATCCATGGAGTTTAGGGCTATAGCAGTGAGGGATTTAATTGTGCTAGACCCTACTGCTTTACGGAACCTTCGTTATTAAGGTCTGATCGGAAAGACCAGTACATTTTGTATTTGACTGCATCTTACTCATTAGACATTGATACAGCTTATAA